GCCGTCTCTTTTCGACGCTCTTTCTATACGAAAGCCGTTGCCGCCGTCGCTGCTGGTGTGCAGTCGCCGTCGCCGTCGTTGTCGTCACCACCCAACAAATGTGCCGGCCATCTGTCTAACATGACGACGCTGGCGTCGCTGCCGTAGCTCGCTCAGTCTCTGCCGCTAAAGGCCGGCACGCGTTGTTGCTGCTGCTGCTACTGCTCCAACACAACCCAACACGCCTTCCCTCTACTACTCTTTCCTCTACCCCCTCTCTCTGTCTATCGTCTGTATGGCAGCACGTGATATACTCGCTTTGCTTTTGTAATTTCGCTTTTGGCTGTCTCTTTAGCGCACGCTATGCTTTAGTCAGACGTTTTTGTTGTTGTTTTTTTTTCTTTTGCTTTTTTCACTTGTTGGGCTGTTTTTTTCTTTTGCTTCTTTGTTGTCTTCTTTTTACTCGCCGCTGCCGCTCTCTCTCTCTCTCTCTCTCTCTCTCTCTTACTGCCGGCGCTCTCTTGCTCTCGTTTTTTGCTGGCTCTCTTGTTTGCGCTCGCTCTCGTTTGCGCTCGCTCTCGTTTGCGCTCTCTGACAGCGGCTGTTTGCAAGTTTGTTTCACCTCTGCTGTGTGCCTGCAGATGTGTGTGTGTGTGTTCTGTGTGTTTGTTGTTGTTGCTGTTGTTACTGTTGTTGTTATTACACACAATGGCACTATCCGGTTTAGGTCCAGGTGCAAATTTTATACAACAGTTTAACTCGATAATCGGGTCAGGCTATTTGGCCATTTGTTCTACACGTTTTTGTTGTGTTATTTTCGGCAATTCTTAGCGGGAAACATGGCGTCAATTTCTTGTCTTTTCATTTTTGTTCTATGTTCCTGTCGGGTTTTTTTTACTACTGCAAACGTCAGCAGGCGGTAGCGTTGCCACCCAATTTGTTTTGGGTGTCCAGGCACGTCATAAAAAAAAAAGAAATGCACCGTTACACATTTGAAAAGCAAGCAACGACGTCTTGTAATTTATGTTGTTGCGCGCTAAAAACAAACCCGAGTGTTGCTGTCGCTGTTACTTTACCTATTTTATTACCATTTTTATGTGTGTGTGTGTTGTGTGCGCCCATCATCTTCTGCCTTGGCTGCTGTTGCTTGTCTTACAAAAACCAACTGTACTTTTCTTTTATATTTTAGTTACAGTTAGTGCCCGGCGTACACACACACATATATATATACATACGCCAAAAGCCACTTGACTACTTGACTTGTGATTGCCATTAGAGAGGAGCAATGTACACACACACACACGCATACATACACATGTGTAATAAACGCGCATTTCTTTCTATTCTGCTGCTGCGCTGCTTTAAGTGACACAAGCAGAACACTAACAACAGCAAGAGCTAATCATTCCACACATTCCATTTCCATTCCATTCCCACTCTTATTATTTATTTATTATGGGTCAAATGTTGGTTACATTTCAAAAAACTGCCGAAATGCCGCTAAGCCAAAAGCAAAAAAGCAAAGCTCAAACAACAATTTTTGTTGTTATTACTTTTTATTTTTTGGACAAGGTGAATGAACCTGGTTTGTTGGTCGCAGTTAGTTTGGCTCATTGTTTGTTGTTGTCTTTGCAAAATGTTGTCTTATTGTTATTGGTGGTTCAAGTTGAGAGAATTGTGTGTTGCAATTAGAGATGATATGCTCATTAATAATTATTGCACTTTTTTTTTGTGGGTTTTATGTTATCGATAAACATGCAAAAGGCACGAGTACATTTGATAATCGCAGGCCACTTACAAAAAAAAAAAATAAATACAATTGGGCAACACTGTCAGCTGAACTGTTTTTTTACGGCCCATTAAATTGTTGTCGCGTAAATAAAGAAAAACACCAAATGGAAGAAGAAGAGACAAATCCACAGAGCAGCTACCAACAACAACAAGAAATATTAGTCGCGGCAGCAGCAATAGCGACGTCGCAGTCAGGTCAGCAGCGGCGACGGCGACATTCTTGTTGTTGTTGTTGTCGTCACCCAAGTTGGACAAACAGAAATTTGCTTGTCTATTATCACCTTTAATCGATTTTTCGCTTATTTTAAACAAAAGTACAGTTGCGCGCATAGCCCCAATTTATACATATGTACACACATATATACATATATATATCGTACACACAAATCATATAATTTCACAATTTTTTCAGATGCTTTTGTTGTCGTTGCTTTTGCTTTACATGTTACTATTGCTTTTAGTTTATTGTTTTTGCAATTACTTTTGGCGATGGCGACGCCAAAAAAAAAAACGCGAAGCAAAAGCAGAAGAGAAGAAAAAAACCGTAAACTCAATGACATGTAGCCCGCAATACATACACAAATAAATATACATTTTCAGACATACATACATATGTATAGCTTTAGCTATCTGCTAGATACCAACATACACATACACACATACAGATACACAAATACCTAGTCTAATAATAATGGAAAAAAGCTGAAACTAAATAAATAAATAGCTGAAATTGCAAAAGCAAAATGTAATTGATTACGAACAACAACAACAACAAGAACAACAATAAACACCAACAACGACGACGGCTAAATGATTGCCCAATGAGAGCTGAGCGCGAAGAAGGCAATTGGAGCGGGTGCGAGAGGGTGTTAGGGAGGGAGGGGGGTACGCATTAGTCGAGGGGAAGCTGGAGTGGGAGGGAGGCAATAGCCTAAGCTCGCTTAGCTCTCATGTCATGCACTCCACATAAGTTTTGAGATGTATTTGTATAAATGTGTGTGTCTGAGAGTACGTTAGTGTTGCCACTGTGTTGATTGGTTGGTTGGCTGAATGTGCTTGGCTAGCTGCTTTTGCCTAGCTGTCTGGCAAGCAAAATATATGCGCACGTATTTATGACAACAACAACAGTGTGTGTGTGTGTGTGTGACTTACTAACTGCATATCTCGTATGTATTTATGCCCAGCTCAATGTAGTTTTGTGTTAGAGTTGAGCGCCTCGTAAGTTGCGTGACACGACACGAAATAAAATAGAGTATTTTTAAAAGAACAGAGTAATAAAATTGTTGAAAGTGCTATATAAAAATTAATATTGATCTTATAATATTAAATGTATTCGTAATTAAAGAATGGGTAATATTAAAAGGGAAAGACCTGCTAAAAATAAAATCCAATTATTTAAAGTGAATATATAATAATAATAATCACAATTAGTTATAAAAAATTTAATGAGTTTCTGTTTGCGTAATTTCGGCTTAACAGTTTTAATTAACTGATTTTAATACAATCATAAAAAAAAAAATAACGAATTGAAAGCAGCTCAACAAAAATAAGTGTGTTTGTTACATTTGTGCTATGTGTCACGTTCACGTTCACATCTCTAGCATGTATCTCTCTCTGCTTTGGCATACACTTTCCATTTGCAAACACATACAGATGTCCCGCACCTTTGGCTGCTGTTTGCAACATTTGCATATCTTTTGGGCATTGCTGCTTAACCCCCACCCCCACCACACCCCTAAAAAAAATAACTGTAACCACCCGCATCACTGTTGAATTTTTGTGTTTTTTTTTCTTCTGCTTTTCTTGCTGCTACTTTAGATTTTTGGGCTAAAACCTTTGCAGACAATGCGAAAAATCGATAGAGTTGCCATTGTTTTTTTTTTTCTCACTGCAAAGCAGCGGATGTCGCCATCAACACCATCCCCACCAATACCAACAAAAACAACACACACACAAATACACAACTCAAACACAATCATCATAAGAAATTCCGAGTGAAAGACTCGCAAGAAAAGGGGTTCTCGAACCCAAAAACCCAAACCCAAAAAACAACGACCAGTCTTAATCCACGCCTCATTAATTGGTTACACTTTCCTTTTCCCAACAACACTTTTCGTCTCAAATTTGAAGCTTTTGTTGCAATATGTATGTACGTATGCATATATATATATTTTGGGGGATGGTTTAAACGGTATTTTGTTTGGTACAGCCTAGCTGTAGCTGTGAAAAGCTTTGACAATTTCATCGATTTTGAACATCTTAACAAAAAGTAGACTATTAACCTTTTACTTACCAACAAAAATCTAGCGTCACGTTTCTAAACTGCGTTTGTGTGTATGTGTCTATGTGTGTGTATCAAATCTGTGTAGTGTGTTTTAGTGTAGGAAAATAACACTCAAATGTTTAGGGGGTCAAACTGTACGTTATATGTGTAAATGAAGAAATTCATAAGCGTATAGCTTTTCCCCTTAAAAGTTGAAGTGATAGCAACCTAAAAAGTCTTGGCATAAGTATGTAATATTATATATATATATATATATATATATATATATATAATGCGATAAATAGAATAATATTTAGTCCCAAAAGTTATGCTTATCTAAAACTAAAGAGTAACTTTTATGAAAGTGGTCGCGAATTAATTAATTAATAATAATTCTAATAAAAAAAACTGACAAGTAGTAATTTATACTACCATATATTAATTAACTTGTTATACGAGTATATACTATATTATATTAAATCAGAATACATATTTAATTGTACTATTGTACAAAATTAAATCATTTAACTAATTATGCTCTTTTTCATTCGTATCTTTGCAGATTCTACGTTTTGAATACGCTCAATCATATAACAGAAAAATTTACCGTTTTGCGCAAAAACTTTAATTCGTCAAAGATTCTATATATATCTCTTAAAATGTATTTTTCTCATAATTTTAATATCTCTTTCCGAAAATGTTGTTTGCAGCTGTGAGCGAATGTTTCACTGCGAATATGTCAAAGGTCGGCCATGAAGTGTGCGAAGAAACAACAAATACAACAAAAACAACAATCAAGACGAATACAACAAAAAGGACAAACACGAATGTGTATACAATATAAAAAAAAGAGATAAGGCAAACAAAAAAAAGAGCACATGAGCTGTAATTAAGTTTAGTTAGTTAGAAACAAACTTAAAGAAACAAAAAAAAAAAACACCGACCAAAACGCCAAAAACAAATTGCGTTAATATATCCTAGATTTGGGCTTTTGTTTTTTTTTTGTTTTGGAGGAGCTGAGTTGTTCTGACTTATCGAGTGCGCATCATCGACGACGACGACAAATTTTGCAGCATTTGCGCCGTGGTTAAATGAGTGAAACTGCGAGTAAACCGACCAACAACACCCACACAACAACGTGGTGAGCGTCGTCAACTCCTCCTCCGTCTACCCCTCAACCCACAATTTCCATTCCCTTACCCTCACCCTCACCCTCCTGCCCCGCACTGACTTCAATTTTGACAACAACGGCCACGCGCAGAGAGCAGCATCAAAATTAAGCCAATCGACGAGCAAACGTGAAAAAAACGCAGCAGCAACAGCAGCAGCATCGTCGCGTCCATCCGACGACGACGACGCGTAACGGACATTTCTGTGTGCGCTGCGTTTCAAAAATCTGATGGATGGAAATGCACAAAATATGTTTCACGGCAATCATCAAGGGTGAGTTTTTGGCCAAGTCGTCTTGTGTTAGTGCTAAATGTTCAATTTATTTTTATTTGTGGGTATATCAGTAAAATAAGTCAATGATAGATTCAATATGATTTGGGCAGCTCAATTCAATTTATATTGCTTGTAAATGTATTTATATATGAGTAATAATATGTGCACTTTAAGACAGCGTGACTGTAAGGCTGAAATTTTTGTTCAGGCTCTCAAATGGCAATTTCTTTAATGTATTTAAACAAGTTAAAGTTAGAAAGGCACTAATGAAATTGCTTGTAATGGGTAAATGTGAAATTTGAGGGAGTATATTTTTATTTACTGTGACACAAGTTAAAGCTGGGAAGGTTCTAAGCCCTCCTACGTCATAAAATAAACTGTTGTATAAATGTGAAATTTAATTTATTCAAGTCCTAACTATTTGTTGTAGAGTAGATGTTAAATTTAAAACCAAATATTTGTATTTAGTTAGATGATAATTTTGAGAATGCATAAAACTAAATTAAATATAATTATAAAATTAATTTCGAACAGCGAGTTTCGCTAAACGTCTGTTCTTGAATTTCATAGGGATTCCTTGTAAGGAATATTTGTATTTACTGTAAGGTTTAAGTTTTTATTCGGAGTCATCAAAATGATCTTTGGATATTTAATAATTATAATTTAATCATTAAAGTGGGAATGTTCTCATAACTCATTTTGTACTAATTTCTATGTTTATTCTTTCCACTTTACAGAGATCCCTATTACCGTTATGATGCGGCCGCAGCAGCAGCAGCCGTTGCCGCGGCAAATCCTCGAGCGATGGGCCCACCGGGCGGCTATCCGCCGCGTCATCGGGCGCCGCATCCGCTACAGCAGCAGCCACAATATCCATCGTACCAGCCAACGGCGGAGAATCTGTACGGGCTGGGGGCCACCGATCAGCATGCGGCCATGGGCGTTGGCATGGCTGATCTAAGCGGTTGGGGTGCGGCGCCATCGGTGCCGGGACAAGCAGCAGCCTATCCCGGTGCCGGTTTGAGCGCCTATGGGCATCCACAGGCGGTGGCGCCACCGACGCAGCAACAGCGTCAGAGTAACGCCAGCGCCGCCTACCGCCAACATATGCCCGCCTACGGACAGCAGGAGCAACAGAAACTGGTGCCGTATGGCGCCCAACAGAATATGATGGGTGCACTGGGCGCCACGGGCTATGGGAGTCTAGCGCCACAGCAGCAACAACAGCAGCAACAACAACAACAGCCGCCAACGCCACAACAGCAGCAGCAGCAGGTGCAGCAGCAACAACAGCAGGTGCAACAGCAGCAGCAGCAACAACAACAACAGCAGCAGCAGAGTCAGCAGCAGGCTCGACTGCCGCAACATTATCCCCAGGCACCCGGCCAACATCCTCTGTATCCGGGTGCACCAGCGCAAGGGGCACAACCGGCAGCAGTGCCGCAAGCCTATGCGCACAGTCCCTACGGCAGCCCGATGCAACATCAGCCGGGCCGTGGGGCGCCACAGCATGTGGGCTACGGCCATGCGGCTTTGGATCAGGCCAGTGCCTACGGCCAGCATGTTGTGCCGGGTGCGGCGCCGCCAACGCATCATCTGAGTGCGCAGCAGCAGCAGGCTGCGCATTTGGCCAGTGCACAGCAGCAGCAGCAACAGTTGCAGACACAACAACAGCAGCAGCAACAGGCGCAACAGCAACAACAGCAGCAGCAGCAACCGAATCATGTTAGCCTAATGCAGCAGCAGCAGCTGCCGGGCGCCGTGTTGCCGCCGCCGCACATGGGCATGCCACCCAGCTACGGCAGTCATCATCAGCAGCAGCAGCAACAGGCACAGCAGCAACAACAACAGCAACAGGCACAGCAGCAGCAACAGCAGAGCGCTCCACCTTACATGTCCAGCAGCAAACATCAGGCGCAGGCTCAGGCTCAGCTCAACTCGTCGCCGCAATATCGTGCCGCGTTTCCACAGCTCTCGCCACAAATGTCACCGCGTCCGCCAACGATGTCGCCACATCCACAAATGTCACCGCGACCCGTTGGTGTCTCGCCTGCCAAGCCGCCGGCGCAGCAGCAACAGGTGCAACAGCAGCAGCAGCAGGTTAATTCGCCCAGTCAGCACAGCATACAGGGCATGGTTGGTTTGCCGTCGCCACGCCCCCAACCGCCTAGTGTGACAGCGGCGAGCGGCGCCAAGGTGCCACCGACAGCAGCTGTTGGTGGCGGTGGTGGTGGTGTACCGCCCGTGAACACGTTACAAGCACTCGAACAAATGGTAATGCCCAGCCAGGCGCATGGACTGCCACCGATGGATTACCCGACATCTTATCGCAGCGCTGCCGTCATGGGACCACGCATGCCCGCCTCACCCTCCCCCCAGCATCATCAGCAATGGGGTGCGCCAGCTCACATGGCCGCCATGCAACAGCAGCAGCAGGCGTCACAACAGCAACCACCAACACCCCAACAACAACAGCAGCAGCAGCAGGCACAGCAACAACAGCAACAGGCGCAACAGCAGCAGCAGCAGGCTCAGCAACAGGCGCAGGCTGCACTGTTGCAACAGCAGCAACAGGCTGCCCAAGCAGCTGCAGCTGCGGCGGCGGCAGCAGCAGCACAACATCAGCAACATCAGTTGATGTATGGACAGAGTATGGCACAGCAGCAGGTGCCAGTGCCGGTGCCAGTGCCAGTGCCAGTGCCAGTCCCCGTCTCGGTGTCCTCACAACAACAGCCACAAGTTCCGCCCGCCGCACAACAGCAGCCAGTGCAAGCGCCACCGCCAGCACCCGTGCAACAGCAGCAGCAACACCAGCAGCAGCAACAGCAGCAGCAACAACAACAGCAGCAGCAACAACAGCAGCAGCAGCAACAGGCACAACAGCAGCTGAATGAGCAACTGCAGCATTCCATCAATGATATTGTGGGCAACAATCAGCAATCGCAATTAAATGTTTCGCCGTTGCATCAACAAACATTGCCCAGCATGCATCATTTAAGTGCTTCCGTGCACCACCAGCAACAACAACAACAACAGCAGCAACCTACTTTAGAGGCAAGCGCAACGCAAGCAACACAGCCGCAACTTCAGCAACAATTGCAGCAGCATTTGTCGCCCATACATCAGCAACAGTCGCCTCATCAGCAGCAATCCCATTTGACCAGCTATGCGCAGCAGAGCAGCAATCAACAACAGCAGCAACAACAACAACAGCAGCAGCAACATCAGCAATTTGATGCATTTGCCAATATTTTAGCAGACACACAGCAACAGGCAACAGCAACAGGAGCAGCAGCAGCAACTGTTGTTGCAAGCCAGCAAATAATGTCGCCAGCGCATGTGAGCTCGCCAATACCCCAGCTACAACAGCAACATCAACAACAGCAGCAGCAGCAACAACAACAGGTACAGCAACAGCAGCAACAGGTACAGCAACAATTGCAGCAACAACAGCAGCAACCAGCAACACCAACAGCAACACCATCGCATCATCTGAGCAGCATACTCAATGAGACCGCCAATTCGAATGATTCGTCAACGTTGGCCGTTGCCGCCAACGATAGCAACAATAGCAGTAGCAACAGCAGCACCAACAGCATTGTCAACAATCAACCTACTTCGGTGCATGACAGCAACTCACAGAGCAGTATCAACAGCAATTCGGCGAATCAGCAACCGTTGCTTTCCTCGATGGAGGCAGTCGCCAACAATATGCTCAACAGCAATTCGGATTCCACACACACCAACAACACCTCCACAACCCATCATCATCATCATGTGAGTGGTGTCGATGTGGGCGGACTATTCGATAACAATTCGATGAGTTCGACGAGTGCTGCTGCAGTTGCAGCTGCCTCAAGTGCTGCATCCGCAGCAGCAGCGTTGCTCGACAGCAATTCGCAATCGTCGAATGTGGAGTTCGAGAAGAGCGTCTGTGAGCCAACGGAGCAGGCAGCAACAGTTGCTGGCGATTTGTGTGCCCAATTGCCACTGGATGAGGAGAATAGCAGTGTGTCCAAGACGCAAACGGATACGTTAAGCGATACAATGCCGCAGCAGCCGACACACGATGACCAAGACACAACAACAACAACAACCACAACGACAACAACATGCCACAAGCAGCAGCAGCAGTCGTCGCTGTTGCACACAGAAGATATGCTGTCGGAGCAGACACAACAAACGCTCTCCGACCTTGCCGCCACTGACGAGACCAAATCCGCTGAAGAGATCTGCGACGAGAAGACGCAATCCCAACTCGATTCAAGTCTAACGATGCCACCACAGACAACGCCCTTAACAATGGGTGGTATGCCACCAATGCCACCGCATCCATTGGCTGGCTATGATGCAGCTGCTGCAACTGCAGCAGGTGGCACGGCAGCCGGGCAAGTGCCAACACAACCACCACAGCCAACCGCACATATGCCGCCAATGTTGCCACCATATCCAGGCACTGCCGCCGGCATGTATCCACCTTATCCGATGTTGCATCAACAGGAGATTGCTGCACTGCAACAGCAAATCCAAGAGCTCTACTGCATGCCACCCGGGCACGAGCATCAGCATCAGGAGAAGCTAATGCGTCTGCAGGAGCGCCTCAATCTGCTGCAGCAACACGAACTGGCCGAACAGTGTGCAGGTGGACCACAGTGTGTGCTCTACCAGAGCATGCCACCGCACCCATATGGTGGCAGCGCCACGCTGCACAACCAAATGGTCGAGAGTCCACAGGTGTCGAGCACCACGGGACGTGGACGTGGCAAGGGTGCAAATAAGCCGCGTAAGCCACGCGCCAAGAAGGGCGATAAAGCGGCAGCAGCAGCCGCCGCCTTGCAACAGCAACAACAGCAGCATCAGCATCAACAGCTGCAACATCAGGAACTGATGGATATCAGTGGCAATGTTGTAGTTGTCGCCTCCGCCAGTGCGAGTAGCAGCAGCAGCATTATACCCACCACACAACTGCCCGTCTCCGAGGATTGTGTGACTCAGGGAGCGGGCGATACCAGTGTTGTGGGTCTGCTGGAGTACAGTGAGGGTATGGGTGATCTATCGCAGGATGTGCACTCGGCCAACGAACTGGACACCTCAACCGATGGGAGTGGCAAGAAGAAGAAGCCGCGCAAACCACGCACACCCAAAGATCCCAATAAGCCGCCGCGAGATCGTACGCCCAAAGTGAAGAAGCTACGTGATCCCAATGATCCCAATTCGACGGAGAGCAGCACTGGCGGGGCACGCAAGCGCGCCAGTGTTAGCAAGCGACGTAAACAATTTGGCGATGATGACGCCGAGAAGACGGGCGAGGGCAGCGAACTGGAGGACAACAAACCGTTGCTGCCCAAATCGGGCGGCGATGGCGAAGCCGAAACCTCAGCGAGTGGCGGTGGTGTTGGCGGTGGCGTTGTTGATGGTGAATCACCCGACTATGATGATATACCCGTCTCGAAGATACCACGCGGCGCCAACGACGAAGACAAGGATGCGGAGGCCGGCGATGAGACTGTTGATTCCGTGCCCGATTCCGCTGGCGACGCGGCGAGCACGCCAAGCAGTCGCCGGGATCGCAAACGTTCGACGGCGCGTTCCAGTCGCCGCAACGCGACATCCGAGGAGGGTGGCAGTGCACGACGAAATCGTGGTTCGCTCAGCGCCAAGGCGCTCAAGAAGCGACGCAATCGTGGACGCATTGTGCCCGAATCGGATGGCGAGGATGATACCATGGATCGAACTCCGCCACCCTCGCCACCACCCGACTCCGAACTCGACTCGAATAAGCGACGATCGTCGCGCAACACGCAACGCAAAAAGTACATTGATGATGTCATGCTACGCTTCTCCGATGACGAGAACTCCTTGCTTGTCGCATCGCCCGTCAAGAAGGAAAAGAAATCCGCATCGGTGAATGCGGCTAATTCGAATGCAGGCAGCGATGTGGAGAAGACCGAACCGCAATCGGGCGCCGAAGGCGAAGCAGGCGGCAGTTCAGCGGGTGAGGAAAAACAGCCGCTGACCACAGACGATACTACGAATAGCCAGTTGGAGGCCAGTTCCAGCACATCTGCAGCTGCGGAGAAGTCGGAGAGACAGAGTGCCAGCGATGCTGCAGCAGTAGCCGCCTCAGCAATGTCTTCCAAGCCCAACTATGTGTACATCAACACAGGCGATGAGGATAGCATGGTAGTGCAACTGGTTCTCGCACTGCGGATGGGTAAACGTGAATTAATACCCGAAGCGCCCAAGGCGAAGACACCTGAGCCCAAGACAGAGAAGGAAGTCGAAGCCGAAGCTGAGACCGAAGCAGAAGCTGAGGCAGCAGCAACCGAGGCAAAGACAGCAGAAGGCAACGATCAGGAGAAGTGCGCTGAGAGCAGCAGCAGCACAGATAAAACCGAAGACAAAGAGGAGAAACCTCAAGCTAATGCAGCAGACGACGAAAAAGGCGCAATCACAAAAGTGGATGAGGCCAAGGAGCAGCTGGAGCCGAAATCCGATGAGAACAAAGAGCCAGTGGATGACCACAAAATGGAAGTGGATGAGAAGGTTGAATCACCCAAATCATCGGTGGCAAGTGAAAAGTCCGCTGAAGAAGAAACATCCGAAAAGGAGGAAGTTGATAACAATAAAATGGAAACTGACGAAAGTGCAGAGAACAAAGAGGCAGTCGAAGAAACCGGCAAAACAGACAAGCAAGAAACTGAAGAGGACAACGAAGACGAAGAAGAAGAGGGAGAAGCAGAAGCAGAGGCCAAGACTGATGATGAGAAAGCAAAACCAGCAGCTGAGCCAAAGATAGCAGCAGAGGACGATGCCGCCACAGAGCACACTGAGAAAGATGTTGAAAAAGCAAAAGAAACTCCAGCTGATGAAACAGCAGAAAAAATGGATGTAGATGAAGCAGAAACAACGGCTAAGGATGAAGGGGATGCAACGGAGGAGAAAATAAAAACCGAAACCGAAGCAGAATCGTCCAATGTCGATGAGGACAAGCCAGAAAAGAAAGACCTCGAGGATAACAAAGAGGATAAGGAGAAGACAGCAATAGACGCAGAGCAAACTGAGAAAAAGAAAGAGGAAGAGTCAACAGAGTCGTCCAACGAGGAAGACAAATCGAAGGATGACGACGAGTCCAAGGACGATAAACCCGAACCGGTTTTCATCGATGTCGAGGAATACTTTGTCAAATATCGCAATTTCAGTTATCTGCACTGCGAATGGCGCACCGAAGAAGAGCTGCTCAAGGGTGATCGTCGTGTCGCTGCCAAAATCCGACGCTTCCAACAGAAGCAAGCACAGCAGATCAACATCTTTGAGAACATCGAAGAGGAACCCTTCAATCCCGACTTTGTCGAGGTGGATCGTGTGCTGGACATGTCCGTGCACACGGATGAGAACAGCGGGGAGACGACCAAACATTATTTGGTCAAATGGAAATCATTGCCCTATGAGGATTGCACCTGGGAGCTGGAGGAGGATGTGGATAACGATAAGATTGAGCAGTATTTGCGCTTCAATAAGATCCCGTTGCGTTGCGAGTGGAAGAGTCGCAAACGACCGCATCCTGAACAATGGAAGAAGCTGGAGAAGACACCCATCTACAAGTCGGGCAACAGTCTGAGACCCTATCAGCTGGAGGGTCTCAATTGGTTAAAGTTCTCCTGGTATAATTCACACAATTGCATACTGGCCGATGAAATGGGTCTGGGCAAGACCATCCAGAGTCTGACCTTTGTCCATTCGGTCTATGAGTATGGGATACGTGGACCATTTCTGGTGATTGCGCCGCTCTCCACAATACCAAATTGGCAGCGTGAATTCGAGGGATGGACCGATATGAATGTGGTCGTTTATCATGGATCTCTGACCAGTAAACAAATGATTCAGGACTATGAGTTCTACTACAAGACAGATAGTGGCAAAGTTCTGAAGGAGCCCATCAAATTTAATGTGTTGATCACGACATTTGAAATGATTGTCACCGATTATATGGATCTAAAGCAGTTCAACTGGCGTCTGTGCGTCATTGATGAGGCACATCGTCTCAAGAATCGCAACTGTAAACTGCTGGAGGGATTGCGTCAACTGAGTCTCGAGCATCGTGTCCTGCTCTCGGGCACACCTCTGCAAAACAACATCAGTGAGCTATTCTCACTGTTGAATTTCCTGGAGCCCAGTCAATTCTCGTCGCAGGAGGAGTTCATGTCCGAGTTTGGCAGTCTGCGCACCGAAGAGGAGGTCAACAAACTGCAAGTGCTCCTCAAACCGATGATGTTGCGTCGTCTCAAGGACGATGTGGAGAAGTCCCTTGCGCCGAAAGAGGAAACAATCATCGAAGTGGAGCTGACAAATATACAAAAGAAATATTATCGCGGCATATTAGAGCAAAACTTTAGTTTCCTTAAGAAGGGCACAACGTCAGCGAATATACCCAATCTGATGAATACCATGATGGAATTGCGCAAATGTTGCATTCATCCCTATCTACTCAATGGTGCCGAGGAGCAAATTCAGTACGATTTTAAGGCTCAACACGGCGAGGATCCCGAATCCTATTATAAGAATCTTATTCTGTCGGCGGGCAAAATGGTTTTAATCGATAAACTGCTGCCCAAACTGAAGGCAAATGGCCATCGTGTGTTGATCTTTAGTCAGATGGTGCGTTGCCTGGACATCTTGGAGGATTATCTGGTGTATCGCAAGTATCCGTTTGAGCGAATCGACGGACGAATTCGTGGCAATCTGCGACAGGAGGCCATCGATCGTTATTCCAAGCCGGGCTCGGATCGTTTTGTCTTTCTGCTCTGCACCAAAGCGGGTGGCTTGGGCATTAATCTGACGGCTGCCGATACCGTGATTATCTACGATTCCGATTGGAATCCACAAAATGATTTGCAAGCCCAGGCTCGTTGTCATCGCATTGGACAGCGTAAGATGGTCAAAATCTATCGACTCCTTTGTAGGAATACCTACGAACGTGAGATGTTCGACAAGGCATCAATGAAACTGGGCCTGGACAAGGCTGTGCTGCAATCGATGAATACGCACGGCTCCAAGGATGGCAACAACAAGCAATTGTCGAAAAAAGAGATCGAAGATCTGCTCAAGAAGGGCGCCTACGGTGCCGTCATGGACGATGACAATGCCGGCGATAAGTTCTGTGAAGAGGATATCGATTCGATTCTTAAACGACGCACTCAGGTCATCACCATGGAACAAGAGAAGGGTTCAACGTTCTCGAAGGCCTCATTTGCAGCTTCGGGCAATCGTTCGGATATCACCATAGATGATCCCGACTTCTGGACAAAGTGGGCCAAACGTGTGGACATCGATCCCGATGCCTGTGAACGTGATGAGACCGAAGATCTGGTGCTCTCCGAACCGCGTCGACGCACACAAATCAAACGCTATGGCCATGAGGATGTCATGGAGATCAACTCGGAGGACTCTTCGAATGAGAACAGCGATGAGGAGGGCGGCATTGGTGAGTTGTAGTCAGATTTAAGTTGGAGTTGGAGACTATAAATTTCTTCATATTTAATCAGGTCTACGTTCACGTCGTCGCAAGGAGAAACGCGATCGAGATCGCGCTCGCGAGAAGAAGGGCAACGATGAGTATATACCACGAGAGCGTGATGCTCTGGCCGCGTTGGGTCTGGAGGAGATCCAGTATGGCAACTGGGCCAAGTCCGAGTGCTTCAAGGTCGAGAAGGGTCTACTCTCATTCGGGTAAGCCAATGGCGAAATTTTTATTCAATGATTACACTACTCAACGCGATAACGATAACGTCGCATCACATTGTTCAGTTTCATGTTTAGTATATAGATCTTGCGGTGCAACATTTTCTCCTCCTTCTCGTAGTAGAGTGCCTCCTCCTTGCGCTCGATATATTCGGTGACGCTCGGTGCCTCGTACTCATCGAGTTGGGCACGCAACTCACCAAGGATCACATAATCCTTGGCATTGTTCTGCTGTACGGTGGCCACCTCCCTTTCCAGTTTGGTGATGGTGCGCGTTATTTCATCGGTGCGATTGATTACGTTACGCATCTCTGTCTCCAGATTCATCATCACCTGTTTCTCCTCGGTCATCGCTAGCGATGTCTTGCCCGTAACGCTCTTCAGTCCCGCCATATGCGTATTCTTCTCCTCCAGCTCGTTGGTCAACTCGGTGCGTTTAATGATCAACTTCTCAAAGTCCACCGCTGTGAGGATGCCACTGAGATCCGCTTTGGTTATCAGATCGGCACGATGCTGTTGACACGTCTCCTGCAGCGAGACAATCGTCAGTCGCATTGTGCCCAACAACGCTCGAGCGTTCTTAAACCAATTAGCCGTAAATTTACGCAGCTTGCGCTCAATTTGACGCTCTGTGGCCGTCTCCAAAAATAAGGCATCGTTCTCATCGCGCAGAAAGTGTAGCATAAAGTTTTTCTCCGTCTCGATTGTCTCCTCGCTGCGATAATGCAGTTCCTCGATCTTGGCACGCAGCTGTTTAACCTCAACCATGGCTGGAATAAAGTTTGGAGAAAGAGAATTTAAAAGAGACGCCTAGAAGAAAAAAATCTGGACCAAAACGAATAACTCTAGAAGAGAGCTGTGTAAACTCAGTCGCATAAATTCTCCATAATCCTTAAACTTAAAACTCCCTATAATGATTTCTGCAGAAACTGTAATGAAGAGAAAGAAATCTCCTGAACACTTTCCAGGAATAGATTACGCAGCCTGGAAAGCCCCTTTCCAATCGATCGAATCTATCACAGTTAGTTAGAATTAGGACCAACTACAACTAGTGTCAAGGAATTAAGAAGAATCCAAGAGAATCCAATCTTTCGCTAATTTCGCTCTAGTCCCAATGCACTTACCATTTCGCTCGATGTCGATAACGCGTTTTTCCACCTCGGACGCAGCCTTTTCGGCCAATTCGGCCTTGGCCTTAACATTCAGTTTGTGCTCGATGGGTTTGCGTCGCTCGCCGCCGCCGCCCCCCGCTCCCAATACGCCCATGTGTATGGACATGGATACGGATCGTTTGGAGCCCGAGTGCCGACTCGATTGCTGCAGACTGTCCGGTTGGGCTGTCTGCTTCATTTGGATACGCTTCAAAATTGAGGTGCGTCGCTGACGCAGTCCGATCAACAGCTTCGGATCGTTCTTCTCCAGAAAATCAACCATTATATAATTCTCCAATTTGACTATGGCCAGCTCCTGTTGCACAGTTTCAATGGTGCGCCACATGTCCAAGGCATCCAGATCGGCCAAACGATTTGCTCGCTCATCGTCCGACCATTGATTGTAATCATCCAAATAGAACTTACTCACCAGGGTCACAATATCGAGCTCACCACGTCCATCGTCATTCTCATTTACTTGTGATTTGTTGAACATAGATCTGGACTCAAGACTTTTATCGGATGGGCTTGGCAAGTTCTTCGACATGTTTATTTCAATTTCAAATAAAATCCAAAATGAAATTAAATATATTATAATCAATAATCAATGATGATCTTTTATATATTGTATCTCTTTAAATATTAAATTTAGCGCGTTATAATTGTATATGATATAGATATTTTTGTAGTGTGCGTGTAAGGAGAAGAGTATTCGTAATAGGCCAACTATGATCTATAAAATAATATACATCTATTTTAAATATATCTCTCCTTATTTTTTATAGGTGGGGACGCTGGTCAGAACTCTTGGAATTGGGTTCGTTTAAACGCGGCTGGCGCGATATTGACGTTGAGGACTGTGCACGCATTATTGTAAGTCTGTGTTCATATGTATGTCGAAATTCGACATTTATATATGTATATAATGATGACCAACCATGCTAATATTGAGAGAACTTTAGGTTTTCGCTGAGTAAGAACAAAACTTCTCAACCCGCTGAACAAATTTTTATTCGCCTTATTTTGAGTCACACTCCAAAAACTAACGATCCGTTCTTTCTTTATTAAAACTCCTTATAGCTGCTGTACTGCCTGCAGGTGTATAAGGGTGACGAGAAGATCAAGACATTCATTTGGGATCTAATCACACCGACGGAGGATGGCGAGGTGCAGAAGATCAGCAGGGATCATAGTGGCCTACACAATTTGGTGCCACGAGGTAGGAATGCCAAAGGTATGGTAAAAGATACATTCACGCACTCCAACTGCTGCACGGACGTAGAGAGTTATCAAAATCAAAAATCCAAAAAAAAAAATACGAGCTGCCTCGAACTATATAGAAATTACTAGTATTGTAAAAAACAAAAAAATCACAAATTTTACTACACACTATATAGAATATATCTCTGGGCTGGACTACCTTAACTACCTACTTAATTACTATAAATATGTAGTATATATATATATATATATATATATATTTATATATTTATACATTCAAATTTCTCAAGAACTTCCAAGTAAATGTCATCTTTTGAGCTGCAGCTATTTTATCATTACTATATATGTATATATATCTGATTCTATTTGTAATAACTGGGTTCTGTGTTCTACCAATGCCTTCAACTGATTCACCCTTTCGAATGTATTCTCCAAAGACCGTTCAATGTTCAATGTCAAAGTGTAACTACCTAAGCTCTATATTCATATAGACATATATAAATATATATATATATATAATTATATACAATCATTAGCAACTGACTCGACTCGACTCGACCAAGACACGACGAACGCCAAAAATAACTGATAAAATGATGAAAAGAAAAAGTGTGTGTATGTTTTGTTGCCATGCAATTGTATGCCTTTTACTATATAACCTTTTATGATTTATAAATATTTTCATTTATACATATACATCTATATATATATATATAACATCCATACCTATATTAACTAACGTTTATAACATGTAATTTAACCAAAACTTATATTTTATTCTGACGCCATACACATTTTTCATTTATCCTGTATTATATTAAAATCAACTATATCCTTATAATCGTTATACATTTCGAACGATTTATATCCATAAACAACTTGATTGTTTTACTCGTCACTCTCAACTACAAAATTATATTAAAATCATATAAGCATTTTAAATGTTTGGAATTTTTAGTATTCCATTTAACAATCACTTCTTGCTCTTTTGAATAAAAGAGCATTCTAATTTAACAATCGCTTTTTGCTCATCTGGAAATAAATTCAAAAACATATTAAAATAATATATCAAAATATAAAACAATCCATACTCGATGTCCGAGATGTCCACATCTTCGGCTTACACTCATCCTTTATTTTCTTTCAGCTTTTTGTCGCTAATACACAAATATATATGTTATGTTTATACACATATATCATTTATATATCTGTACATAATTTAGTAAATGCGCTATTTTCAAATTTGAACCCATATCATTGTAGTAAACAACTCATGCATCATTATCAAGTCGAAGGCAAAAGAGTTTTTAACTAAATATGCGCCATATATTTTTTTATCATACATTTTGCAGGACGCAACGGTGGCAAGTCCAACAAGGAGATGACACCGGCACCTGGCACTGCCTCGGGCAGCAACAGTGGTAATACAACACCGGCGCACAAGTCCGACTCGGGTGGTGGCCTTGTTGGCGATAAGGATGGCGGTGGCGGGATTAGCGCCAGCGCTGTGGCAGCGGCAGTTGCACCACCGCCCGCACCACCCACCAGCATACACGATCCGAATCATTGGAGCAAAAAGGAGAAATACGATGCGGATGCGTATCTGGAGGGCGCCTACAAGAAGCATCTGGGCAGACACGCGAATAAGTGAGTCGTGTGGAATCGAATTTGAATAAACTAACCAAAAAATATACCCTGCTGCTGCCAAGCGGGATATTTCCAGTCTAAACCATTTTGCTAACAAAAAATCCTTTCTATTTTTCTGCTCTTTTGCTTCACTTGATCTTTGTTTTATATTTTCTGTTCATTTTGATTGACTTTCTGATTTCATACAGGGTACTGCTGCGCGTTCGGATGCTCTATTATATACAGCACGAGGTCATCGGTGATTTAGTGCAGCAGATCAAGGATAATACGCCCATCAGGTAGGCGTTTTTAGCGTTCATCAGCATCCACATCACATTAATCACATCATGATTGTTGTCGTTGATTGATTGACTGATTGTTGTTGCGCTCTGCAATTCGAGCGCCAATATGCATTCGTTATATTCTTTATATATATATTATTTTTTATTTTTTTTAATTTTGTAGTATTATGATTTTTATTGAGTTTATTTTTTTTTGGTTGTGTCATCTATTTTTCTATAGTCGTTTTATATATATTCTTATTTTATCAGTATTATCTCTGACTATCTAACTACTAGTAATGCCAATTTGTTTAACTCTTAAACCTTAATACTAAAAAAAGCCAGCTCGCGAGTAATATTTCTGCTTTGAATACTCAGCAGTTTTATTACTTTTGAGTTTTTAATTCGCTTCCATGTGAGATCTGTCTCTTCCACTCGCTAGTTTCAATGCTCTCTCTGTCTCTCGCTCTCGCTCTCTACCACTCGTTACTAACTTTGTTCTCGTTACTAACTGTTTAAATGCTCTGTGTATATCTTTCTATATATCTCCGCTGAGTGTTTCAATCAGATAACTCCCTCCCTCCCCGTTCTTGAACGTTTGTTGTATGCAATTTTTAATACTACATTTCTACATTAACTAACTGTTCCCCTAACTCGTTAAACCCTTAAAAAAAAAAAAACCCAAACAAAAAACAATGTTGCTCAAATTTTTTCTCTCGCTGTGTTTTGTTTTGCACCACTTGAACCTTTTTGACGAATATTCTAATTGCTAATTTGAATACGAATAAATATATATGTATGTATATATATATATATCTATATATATATATATATATATATATATGTACAATATATGCATACACACTCACTGACAACTTTTGGATAACCACAACAACAACAACTACTACTACAACAACAACAACTTTAACTGATGCAGTTCGAAAGCCAAGCCACAACTGCTAGCACTCAATCTGGAAAGGTAATATCTATGCACACATCTCGCTCTCGCCCTCGCTCGCTCGCTCGCACGCACTGATCGCCCAAAAAAAAAAAAAATATCAAAAAGAAAAACCCTCCGATCACAACACCATCTCCGCCCGTCCGCCCGCCCATCCGAAGCGAATCAGGCGATTAGGGAAATCGTATTTGAAATTCTCATGCCTCTCTTCATCATCGATCGATCAACGAATTATGAGATATATCCAACAACATATACATATATATATCTACAAGTTATATGCACAGCAATTTTATATATATCTATATATATGATTTTCGATATTCCAAATTCCAAAGAAAAAATATACGGCAACAGAAAAAATCTTTCAATTAACAAAATTTCTTCGAAAATAATACCCTTCTTTAGTTGCATTTGTAAACTGTTTTCGTAATCCGTAGCACAAATTGGCAATTAACAACAACAACAACTAATAAATAATAAAAGTTATAATTTGGTTATTTTTATCCCCCATTTTCTTATATGCTTTATAGTTTGATATATATACATATTTTTTTCATTTTATTTGTTTGACAACAACCAAAAACAATGCATAAAACTTGTTGAACTGAATTTATTACTCATTGACATATTTGTACTAAACAAGAAACCAAACAAAAACTCATGCAATTCTTCTTCCCCCCTCATCTTTATCTCTCTCTCTCTCTCTATATCTCTTTATAAATATATATATATGTATATATATATATATATATATCTATATCGATGTATGTGTGTGTATATATATCTATCAAATCAAAATGTAGCGAGCTCCCAATACGGCCGCCGCCAACGCCCGATCAGGTGCCATCATCATGGTGGAATCCCATTTGTTGTGATAAGAGTCTATTGGTTGGAACCTACAAGCATGGCTGTGAAATGTATCGTCAAATGCGCGCCGATCCGAATCTGTGCTTTGTCACTCATGTGGGCGCCGGTGCCGGTGACGATTTGGCCGTCACGAATTTGCCAATGTAAGTTGTTTAACAAAAAAAAAAAAAAAAAATGTATATACCCTATATCCTCCCTTCCCCCATACCCTCAGTTCCCTATTTTCCCCCTTTCATTCCATTCCATTCCATCCATGCCGTCATCCATCCATTAAATTATGCCTAAATAGGGAACACATTTTAGCCATTATTTCATAGTACCACACATATGCCACAAGTACTAACCACAACCACAACCACAATTTCAACAATGAGACCAGTCTCTAGCCAATTATGGGAAACGTGAAACGTCGAAACCTCAAAACAACTAGTCCAAAAATAAACAGGAACTGGAATATGTTCAATATGTTTTATATTATATTTACTAATAGTACTTAGTAATTATACTAACCAAAACGAACATTGAGAGATCTGCAAGACACGCAGTAAGATCCATGTTCAGTGCGACCGTATAAATTTTAATGCTGATCAGCAAAAAAAATATCACATTTACAAAGGGTTCCATATTTTAAACTCCTATAATTCTGTCAAAACTGGTACGATTTTCAAAAAAAAAAAAAAAGGCAAGCTTTGATCTCAAAAATACATTAAAATTTGGAAATTTGATTTTCACTCGAAATTCAAAAAGTTGTCTTTAGGAATGGTTCTACACGTTCCATTATCAAAAACTGAATCGGTTATTAAGAAAAAGTCCTTTTTGAACATAGAAGTACAGACTTCTAATACTACATTTAAATTTGAAAGGACACTTTTCGCTCGAACAATAAAGAATTTCAAATTGGAACTCGTTAAACGGTCACCCTGAATATTTTTTTTTGCTACTCACACTTTGGCCAAAACATTTGAAAATCATTGAAATTTTGTATGTGTGTGAATGTGTGCATGATTTTTTCGCTCAGTGTGTGCCACACAAAAGAAATTCAACTCCCGCCAAAAAAACAAAAATAATTAAATTAGCATAGAGTGTGAGACCATTTTATAATTATACTCCAAACATATATATCTATCGATATCGTATTCACAGAATTGAAGACGATGCAAATTCGAAGCACGATGACGGCGATGAGGTGGACGACGATGGCACCACAACCACCAAAGACTCGGATTCCACCAAGCTAACGGCCGGCGATAATAAGGACTCGCTCGATCCGGAGCGTCCCAGTTCGTCGGGTAAGAGCGATAAGGCCGAAAATCATAATAATAGCAGCGGAATCAATTCTACTACTACTACTACTACTACTACTACTACTACCAATACCAATACCAATAAAGCCAACGAGCAATCCGTCAACTACTCCTCCAACTCGGTCGAGGGCAATGGCAGCGATGCAGTCGACGTTGACGTTGACGCCACGGCGGCTGCGGCAGCCGTGCCAAACGAATCGGCAACAAAATCAACCAAATTGGCTAAATCGAATGAAATTGAAATTGATACAGAAAATACAAATGAAAATTCAAAAGATATTCCAAAAGAAACTGACAATGATAAAGCGCCAGCAGCCAACAACGAGGCAGTGGCTGTTGCTGATGATGATGCCACCACCACCAACAAGGCAGACGCCGCCGATGCCCCCGCCATTGCCATGGACGCCGACTCGAGCGATGCGGCAGCAGGTGATGAGGGGGCGGCTGTGGTGGTCTCAAAGGCAGCCACTGTTGCCTCCGCTGTTGGTTCGCCATTGGACAACACCACCGATCACAATATGGACGTTGAGGCTGATGAGGTGAAAGCCCAAGCCCAAGCCAATGGCAATGAGGCTGCTGCTGTGTCAGCCGTTGGCGAAGCCGTTGATGCTGCCGCTACCATTGCACCCGCCGAGATTGGTTCAGATTCATGCACCACTAACGCAAAAAAAACCACCACAACCACCAACACCACCACCACAAATATCACCACTACCACCACCACAAACACCACCACTACTACTATAACCACCATTACCACCAATCCATCATCCACAACAACAACATCAACGACTGCAGCGGCCCCTGGGATGATCATCGGATCAGGGGAGTCAGCGGGTCAAAACTGCGAAAATGCTAACTCCAACTCAAATTTAGGCTTGGACGAGGAGGAAAGTGTCGCCGGCAGCTATCCGCCCACATTGGCAGCCGTCGAGGATGCCACAATGTGGCCATCAATGCAGGATCTCAATACGCGTTTGCGTCGCGTCATCACCGCTTACCAACGCAACTACAAAAAGGAGGAGCTCAAACAACAACAAAAGGCCAAGGTGAGTCCACCCCCGCACCTCACAAAAAAAACAACTGATTCTTCACCATCAAAGCCAACCCACATTCAAATGACACCTAATTCATATCATTTATATTTGTATGTCTGTTCCCCAATTTGAAAGTGTTTCCACTTTAGTCTGAAATCTTCAACTATTTGCAACTATTATGTAAATTGGTTCCTTAAAATTTCCCAGCAATAATGGCGGAAATTGTAACCGCAGTTAAAGATTGATCCTGAATTGATTAATAACGATAACTTAGAACTTGGCTTATACATTTCCAATTTCATTATAAAAACAGCGCTATTTCAACCAATTTATCAATATAGAAATTGTTCGTTTATATATAAAACTTGGCAACAATTTAAAAGAAATCGATAACTATCGACAATTATTATCGACAGACCTCTATTTTTTTTTTTGATACTCTAACAATTATTTTACTTTTCCATCATTCTTGCAAAAATATCCCACACATTAATTCCTTAAGCAATTTGTTTTGTCTTTATCGTTTTGTATATTGATTATAACACCAAAAAAAAAAAACAACAAAAAATCAATCAAAATTCGTAGATGAGTTTATTCAAAGTATGTAGTTTTGTTGCTTAGCTGTTGGCCGTAGTTAAAAACTTGGCTTAGTGTTTTGCTAAAATACTGTACATTGTTGTAGAAAAAAAAGTAGAAAACGAACACGAACACGAACTAGTACGAACTGTAAAAAACGAACAAACAACACACCAACAAAACAAACAAACCAACAGCTGATTAACAAAACTACCTGCGAGAAGAACCCTGAAGGAAAAGCCAAGCCCCTTCACCTGATTCATTTGCCCATTAATTCATGCCTTCTCTCGACGAGAAGCAGTTCATTTTCTCTCCACTCCATTTTCACTTTTTTTACACACACTCACTCTCACTCTCTCTGCTCCTGATGATGATGATGATGATGATGTTAAATTGTTGCTTGTTCTCTCTCTCTCTCTCCCCACCAATCAAAATCCAACTCCATCTCCTCTGCCTGCTCTCGCCCCCCCTACAGCTACAGGCGCTGGTCTCATCGACGCCTCCGCTGTCGGTGCCCACCACGCCCACCTTGCAATCCATGCAAATGCAGATGCAGGGCGCCGGCGTTGGCAACAATTCTGCAAGCGGCGGCGGCGGCAACAACAACAACGTTGTTGTTGGTGGCGGTGGCGCTACCGTTAGCCAGCTGCAACAGCAGCTCGACTCGAGCAATCGCAGTCTGCAGGCGCTGATGCAATCGCAGGGTGCCAGCACCTCAGCAGCAGCTGCAGCTGCAGCAGCCGCCGCTGCTGGCAACTCTGGCGTACAGCATGGAATGGTTAGCCAGCACCAGCAACAACAGCAACAACAACAGCAGCAGCAACAACAGCAACAACAACAACAGCAGCAGCAACAACAACAGGTTGGTGGCGCCACAGTGCCTGCAATGCCCACCGCTGCCGACATAAGCCTGATGCTGAGCATCCTCAACACAACAGATGTCAGCCAATTGGCCAATTTGGATATCAACAAGCTGGCCATGTATTTGGTTAGTATGAACAATGTACGTGAAACGCCAAATTATCTTTCTATATATTTACTATATATTTGCCTTACATAATGCATTTCAAAAACAACACCCCATACCATACCCAAAAAAATATATATAACCCCTAAAGTTTTACTCATAATACGAAGAACATGCGACAACAACATACAACTTACAACTTACCCCGCTCAAAAATATACCCATTGATTCACCCACAAATCGGCAACATTGTGAAGCCCGTACTTAAAACACACCCTTCCAGCCCTTGTTGCTGCATCAAGGGGTTGGGGCGTTAATAGACCATGACCAACCAACCCAGCCACTCGCACACTGACAATAACTTACCAAACACACACACTCACACGCACAAACATTAACACTCACACTACACTCACTCATTCGTTGCATTGATCTAACCCCTTGAATATTATTGAGTAAACATGTATGTATATGTTGCACACACTAACACTAGCATGATCCTAACTTAATATGTACACACTATAATAATTAACAACGTATTTTTTTGTACAATTCGCCAGTCTTACTTTATTTATATTTTAAAATTTTTATATATTTTAATTATATAACATTTTACCACCATTTATCAAATACCTGCCAATCTCGTAAAATGACTATAATATATTTAAGAGGTTGTATATCTGGCTATTTAATAGTCCAAAAGTGATTGTTATCGATTTTTAGCTCTCTTTTCCTATTGTCTCCCATTTCATGTGAGTTTCAACTCTCGATATAATTTTGCTGATTTACCGCAATTTGTCTTCTCACGTTTCGATACGAGATATCGATAAAAAGAAAAAAATCCCTTCGTTGCATTCAAAAAAGCGAATTACAATGTGTAGTGAAAATTGAAGTGTGTGAAAAGTCAGCAAAGAGGAAATCTGACAAGCAGTAGCAGCAGCAGCAAAGCTGTAAAAAATGACGAAATAAAATAAAATAAGTTACACCCACCGTTGTGTATGACGAAAGAGTGGGAGGGGCTGGCAGTCGCTGATTTCTGTCAACTACATACGTGCCGACTCGACTGAACTGTATAACTGTCTCTCTGCATATATGTATGTGTGTATGTATGGGTGTACTTCCGAATGTTCAAACAAAAGCAAACGATGACAAAACGAGACGGAAGACAAGACAACCGTCAACAACAATAACAAGCGCAAGAGCGAGAGCGACAACAAAACACGGCGAAAATACTACAAATACAAATCCAACTGCGAATGCGAAATACAAAACACACTTATGCTTGCTTAATTTATGCAAAATAAAAGAAATACACGTAGAGCAGCCAGCATACACACGACGGCGAGAGCGAAACGGACAACGATGATGATGATAAAGATGTTGATGATGATGCTTAGACTTTCGAGCATTCGAATTTGAAGCCAACCCATACCCAGACCCATACCCCTCCCACACTCCCACCCCCCGGAAATGTGGTGCACACACGGGAGATGCTCGGGCGCGAATGAGCAGCGAAACGAGCAAACGAGAAAATGTCAAACCACTTTGCACACTCAGCAACCGCCCCAAAACTGTTGTTGTTGTTAGCGGTGTTGCCACCTTCAAAGAGGGAGGCGGCGCAAACAGTGAAACTGCCGCAGACATGTTGGCCAACAAGCTCTTGGGTCAAATTATAAGATTCGACTTCGCAGCTGGAACTGGAGTTGAAGATGTAGATGGTCTATTTTATGTATTGCTCTGCACAACCTGACGGGCATTTTATTGTAGCAACAACAACAACAGTAAGAGCGACGACGTCGACGCCATTATCAAACGCCAGCGCCATCAATCAAACCAACAACAGCCAACACAGCAGCAATAAAGGCTGGCGTTGATGCCAGCTGCCAGTGCTGCCAACTTTTAAGCCGCAATTAAAGCTAGTTAGGAAATTTAAAAATTGAAGAAATGAAAAGTCTTTCGCAGCTTTATATTTATTCATTTGTGTATTTATTTACATTTGCAAAAAATGTACTTCCACAATTTTAATTGAAGCAATATATTTAAATAATATTCAAAAAATCTAAACGCTTGCCAACACTTCAAAGTCGAAAATCTTTCTACTTGCTGTTTTCCGCTAATTTGTATGAGCATTAAAAAAAAAGCCCAACTGACTGAAGCCTGACAGCAGTAGCGGTGAAGACAGCGTCAGAACTGCCAACTTCCGCGGCAATTAAAACTAGTTTGTGAAATGGAAGATAGTAGTTACTTTGCTTTAGTATTTATATACTATATTTTAGACAATATGCAATTTCTGACAGTTGAGTTATTTAATAAATAACTGTAGCTACAATTAAATATTTGTTGTATTATATAAATTGCACATAGCAAAGATTTCTGCCGCTAATTTTCAAACGCTTAAAAAAAGCCAAATCAAGCCGAACTGGCAACACTGACGCCAGCAGCAAGAAGAGCAAGCAAAATGGTCACACAGCCAAAGCCAAGCAGCATTATGTCGTGTTGTTGCTGTTGTTCTTGTTGTTGTATTGACGAAGTAAAGTTCTTCACATTGGTGACGATGATTGTTGCGCGATGTCGGCGTTGGCGGACGACGTTGCCATGCTGCTGCTGCTGCTGGTCCTGTTCTCTGACTCTGACTCTGAATGTTGTTTGTTTGGATATATTGGTATCGGTAACGGGTGGTTATTGCTGCTGCTGCTACGTTGGCTGTACTTGTGCGCCGCCTCTCTTTATATGTATGTGTGTTTTAGTTTGCCTATGTGTGTGTGGATGTAATTTTACATTTTCTGTGGATTTATCCAATGTTTAATTTTTTGCCTGCGCCCACCCAAAATACCAAATATAAAATATAAAATTCAAGCAGCCGTTGATGACAGCGCGTCGTTTTTGTTGCTGTATCCGTATCCGTGTCCATATCGTCGTCGTCGTTGCTCTCACGGGGCGAATTATTGAGCGAGCAAGCGAACGAGGCGAGCGACGAATGGGGCGAATATGTGAAATGTGACTTGGATATTATGGTGACCTGTTCCTGCTGCTGCTGCGGCTTCTTCTTTTGCCAGGCCGCGGCGCGTCAATAAAGGCAAAGCCAGAGCCTAATTGTGCTCATTTGAGAGCTCATCGCCTGTTGTTGTCTGCTCCTTTTGCTCCACTGTTCGTTCGTTTCTTGTTCTGTTTTCTCCACTTGCAGCAGCAGCAGCAGCAGCAGATTCTTTTTTCTTGCTGTTGTTGCTCGCCTTTTTTTTGCAACATGTATTTAGAACACAAGCATAGAATTTGCCTTGCATATGTGTGTGATTATGTATTCTCTCATGTGTCTGTATGTATGTTTGCAATTCTTTGTGCACCATCCTTCTTGTGCTTGGTTGGGATTTGCTTGGATGCTCACCTCGCGCTGACCGCTATTCGATTTATTATTTTTATTAGCATTTCATTTTTTTGCTGTGGCACAGTGGTGCGTTTGTCAATTATTCATGCATATGCCGCAACAATTTTTCGCCACTTGTTTGACCACTATGCCGCATGCCGTACGTCTTACGTCTCACGTGTTGCAACTCATTGCAGCTGGTGCTGCTGCTGCTGCTACATTCGTTTCACACCTGTCGGTCATAAATAATTTCAAATATTTTTCTCTTAAGAGCAGCCCAGTGTGCAGTGGTCAGTTCATCAATGCACACACAACATACACTCATGCATATGTGTTTGCGCAGCTGTGTGCGTGCCTGAAATGAGACGCTGTTGTTGTCTACCTGCCTTTTGATTTAGTTTTGCGTTACGCTTTAGTCAAATTTACGACCACACATGCATAGAAAAAAAACGTCACACGCTTGCACTCACACACACAGACGTAACCTCTCACGTGCAATTGTGCAGTGGCTCGCTCTCTCTCTCTTTCGCTCTTTCAGCTGCCGATCATGTTTTTACTAGTGTGTGTGTCTGTCTGTATTTTAGTCATATGCATTTGCCGAAGATGTCTCGCTGTCGCCGTCGATTGGCAGCTTGTTTTGTGCTGCTGCCGCCGCTGTCGCTGCTGCTGGCTGGTCGTGGTTGTAGTGGTGTTGGTGGTGGGATTGTGTTGGATGTGTATCTGTATCTTACAGATTGATTAATAATCTCGTTTTTATACTCGACGAAGCTCAGCGACTGCTGCGGCTGCGGCTACGTGCTTATCACACTTTAGTGCAGTTTCTATCTTTCGCATTACTTGCACACAATCTTTGTGAATATACATATAAATATAAATATGCATATAAATATACATATATGCAAATTAAAACTATGACAAAGGTCGTTTTAATTAAGCAATTGCATAATTCCCTAAAACAATGGTAAAAAATAACTCGAGTCCTTCTCCTCCTCCTCTTCTTCTACACACAGAAAAGACTAATTTCTAGAAACAATCGCTTCCTGGCCGGTCGCTCACGTGTGTGCGTGCGTGTAAGCGTGCTAGAGATGCGCGCATGTTACGAATTTTTATAACACGTTTGGAATATGGGAAAACGATAGTATCAAAAATATTCCAGGGCTATTTGCATTTATTAGAACTAGAACTTATATATTTGTTATTATTTTAATAATAGAAACAATAATAATTGTATGCACAATTCATCGTGTCACGACACGTGCCCATCTCTAGAGATGCGCACAAATTTGAGTACCTGAATTTAATCCATTTCTCATGGCTAGCCCGAACAGCGCTTGGCTGGCTTGCTGGCTATTATTTTATTTTATTTTATCCCTTTTACGTTGTGTGTCCTTTGCACCAATAACAACATCAGTCGTCGCAGTCGCTGCTGTGCTTGCTTCTTGTTGTCGTCGTCGTCAACAACAGTTTTTGTGGTACATTTGTTTCATTGCTTGGCTTTTTTTTGCCCTGTGTATGCCATGTATGTGTGCCCCCATTCCCCTTTTCCCCATCATCCTGCTTGGCACACACGTGTATGTGTAAATATATGTGCATGTGTGTGTGACAGGAGGCTCTGCCTTTGCCTTTGCCCATTGCCTCTTTTGCTTACATTACACAGTTGACACAATGTGTGCTCTGCGCTGCCTTCTTCTTCTCCTTCTCCTCCTCCTCATTCTTCAACTCGTCCATCTAGTGCACAGCGAACACACACACACATATATATATACATAGAGAATATATATATGTATATGTATTCGCTCTCGCTAGCGGCGCACTCTCGCGTTCAATGCGCTCGCTCTCTCTTTCTCTCTCTGACTCTCTATCAGTGCTGCAAGTGACGCTTTGGCTTCGCCTTTGCCTTTGCCGCGCTCATTCACCTCAGCGGAGGACAGGCTGTGACTGCTGTGACTGCCTTTCTGCCTGCCCATCTCATTCATATTCACATTCACCCAAAACGGCGTTTGGCTTAATCTCACGATTGTTTGGTTTCGTTTCGTTTGGTTTGGTTTGGTTTTGCTTTTTCTCTGCTCTGCTTTTGGCTCTGCTCCCTCGCTCAATAGTAGTTGCCTTGCTTGCTGTTGTTGTTGTTGCTGTTGGTTTGACTAGCGACCGACCCTCTACTCTTCTTCTCCCCCGTCTTCGTTCTGTTTCGTCGCCGCCGCTGTCGCCGTTGCTGTTGCTGGCTGATTCGCATTCGATTTTAGCCGCTGCCGCCGTCGCTGCTTCCGTGCTGCGCGCGTATGCGTTCCCCGTTGTGGTCTCTGTGTCTCTGTCTGTATGTTTATGTGTTTGTGTACGTCTCTGTGTGTGTGTGTGTGAGGAGTGTTTCTTGTATTTAGTCCGCAATGCGCTCGCTCATTATTTGTTTGAGCGCCGCGGTGTAAAGTTGTAAAAAGTCCAAGTGCTGCTTGAGCTGAGCAGCAGCGGCAGCAAACGCATCCATATCCAAAACAGCGTCGTTGTCGTATCGGTGTCTCCCTCTTACAGACACACACCCGCGCTCTCTTTGTCGCTCTATGAATGTGCCTGCGTGCGTATCTGTGTGTGTTTGTGTCTACGTGTGTGTGTGTGTAGAAGAAGAAATAATAATAATCAAACGAATGGAAAAATGTAATTGCTGCTGAGGCAAAAGTAGACGACGAGTGCTTCGTTTGTGTGTGTCTGTGGCTGTGTGTGTGAGCAGCGAATGCAGACAACAACAACAAGAATAAGAAGCAGAAGAAGAAGCAGCAGCAGTAGTACCGCAACGTGCAAATAGCAAATGTCGCCGCCGCCGCAATGAATGATAATTAGTGCTTAATTAAAATCAATAATGTCGAAATCGAAATCGAATTCGAAATCGAGATCCAATTCAATATTTGTGATATAATATCGTATAATTGTAATTCGGAATTGTTTTCGTGTGTGTGTGCCTAAAATTATCCAATACAACAAAATGGAGGTTATTAAACCCATGGATTTTAGCAGTTTCTCAGCGTTCTGCGAGCATCTAAATAAATCATCATCAACAGCAGCAGCAACAACAACAGCTCCCATTTTAAACAATGGCATTTATTTGGAGGTAAAACTACAACAACAACGAAAAAAAACAACGAATAGCAATTACAAACAATGCCATTGACAATTTATATTAAATTCAAATTTTGCGCAAAAATTTAATTAAAACGACGTTGCCCCATCGCATAAGAAAAAAATGTGAATGCAAAGAATGCAGAAAACAACAACAAGAAGAACAAAAAGCGGCAGCAGCAGCAAAAGCAGCGCTGCTCCCAGTAATACAAGTAACTTAAAAAAAAAGAAGAAAAGCAGCAAGCAAAGCAAGCCGAGCCGCAATGTTAAAACGAAATACAAAACAATAAATTTATGCCTATAGATTTCGACGAGCGTTGCCACTTTACATGGCACATGTGTGTGTAACTCACTCACATACACACACACACACATACGACGGTAACCAGTTGGGCTCTGTGTGTTTGAGTGAGCAGAGCGCGCTCATTTAAATTCGTTTTTCCGCCTGTCTTCTATCCTACCTACCCCCATTCCCATTTCCATTCCCATTTCGCCGCACAAGTCAAGCCGCTGTTGCTGCTTGCTTTGCCTTGCGTGCTTTGCTACTTACTAATAATCATAATCAATCGCTCGCACTTGTATCGTGCCAAATGCACGAGTGAACAAGCACCAAGAGCGAGCGAGCGAGCAAGCGAACGAAGAGCAGAGCAGGGCGAAGGTGCGCATTTGTCGCGTGTGTCCAAGCGAGATGGAGAATGCACTTGCTAGAGATGGGTTAGCAGTAGAAGTCGTCGTGTTCAGTTCAGTTCAGTTCGGTCTCTTTATCTTGTTTCGCTGTTTTGTCGTTTGTTTTTGTTTGCCCCTATCCCCACACCATCCCCATCTCATCACGCTTGCTTAAAATTTGTATAGCAAAAAGCCGTTAGCCGCTATGCCTGCATATATAAAACAACAGACACAACAGTGCTGCCAACCTGCGCCAATTGGCATCCTTGAAGAGCAGCCAGACTTGCCAACGTTGACGCTGCTGAGAGCAGGCAACTGTCGCCCCCTCCCCCCCTTAGCACTTGACTGCAAAAGGCGCCCGCTTTACCGTTTTATTTGTTGTTGTTTTGATTTGCATTCACATATAAATATAAGTGCATATGTATGCGTGTTTTATTTGCAACCACCTGGCAACGCTGTCTAAGGAGTTGGCGTTGCGCCGTCGTTGCCCCTTTGCTATGTGTGAGTGGCTGGGGGGAGTATTATTATTATTATCATAACTAACTACATCACTAGCGTGAGAGAGAGAGAGCTCCATTTTTGGAAAAGTATGTTTGTGTGTGTGTGTGTGTGAGTGAGTGAGTGAGTTAGCCGTGCAATTGGTCTCGCAGGATTCATTTGTTTGTCTCCCGGCTGCCCGCCTTCTGTCTCCCCCCTCTCCCGCTCACCACCTTTGCCTGTGCTCAAATTGTCGCTATGCCATTTTTGCCCTCTGCACTCTCCGTGTCGCGTTATTAGGGGTGTAAAATGGATTTTTTACTTTTATTATTATGATTTTTATTGTATTTCCCAGTTTCAGTTTCAGTTTTGCTTCGTATTTAGTCCTCATCATCGCAGTCGCCGTCGTCATCGTCTATTGTCTCTCAATTTTGCCCCTTTGCTTTGCGCTCGCCATTCGCATTTTCTACTTTTTTTTTTACTTTTCGCACAAAATTTGTGTAATTTGGATAAGGTCCCGTTACCGACACCGACACCGACCAACCCCCTACAAACACATACACACACACAAACACATAGAGCGGCAGCACCCACCCTTGATGCATCCATCCCGTTATGCTGTTGATGATAATGAAGAGGGGGGAATGAGGTGTGGATGAATAGGAAGATGGGGAAGGGGGGGGGGGCAGCTTTTAATTTTTTTCAAATTGTGTAAATATTCGTAATGAATTTGCTGCGCTGCTTTTCGCGTTGTTTCTTTTTATTTGACTGGTTGTTTGGTGTTTTGAGTATTGGTAATCAAATTGTGCTTGGCTACACACATATACATATAAATATATATATATATGTGTGTGTATAGACATGTGTATATATATTATATTTATATCTGTGTATATAGCTGACAGCGTTGAGCTGCGTAGTAGTTGTACAAGACTGAGAGCCTTATCTTATCGGGGGCAGACTTTTTGTTTGTTTGGTTGGTTGGTTTGTCATGAATGGGTAACGCTTGTAAAGTAGCCAAGATTATTATACTCGCAAGTCGTCTGATGTTGATGATGCCTCTTTAATCTACAACCAACACACACATACAAGAGTCTCGCACTCTTCTGAGTCATAGGAAATGAGAATCTAATATCAAATTAATAGAAATGAAATAAATATTAATAAAATTGATATAAATATGCATAATATAAAAGTAAATAAAACAAATATAAATATAATAAACCTAACTAAAATAAATATAAAGATGAGAGAATTACGATTAAGTATTAGCATTTAACTTGCGAACGATATTTCTTAAAATAATAAAATATAAGCTACAGCTGACTAAAAATATTAAAGAAGTAGATATTATTAATATTTGACAATTGCACATTAAAATGTGCCAAAGGTTTATTCTTAAGCACAAATCTCTTGAGTATTCAACTAAAATATATATTAATCTTAATAGCATAACTAGAAATATAAAAATCACCCAAAACACATAACTAACTCAAACTAAAATTACTATAAATTTATGCTATGCACAATATCCTATTATATTATTATTAAAATTGAAAAATGTTTTGCTTTATAGAAAATGGAGCGCCAGGGTAAAATGGAACTGGCTGCCAAGGAGCGTGAATCGCAGCGTTTGCAGCTGATACCCAAGAAATGGAATCGCCGCGAGGAATACGAATTTCTGCGCGTTCTCACCGGCTACGGCATCGATATGCAGCTGACGACGCCCATGGGTGGTGCAAATAGCAACAATAATCATCCCACACCCGATTGGATTAAATTCAAACAGATGGCGCATTTGGAGCGCAAAAGCGATGAGACCCTAACCGATTACTACAAGGTCTTTGTGGCGATGTGTCGTCGCCAGGCGGGCCTCAAGCTCGCCGAGAACGAACGCGGTCTTGAGGGCATCATCGAGGAGGTGGAGAAGGAGCATGCCAAACTCATCTTGGATCGACTCGAACTGTTGGCCAAGTTGCGCGAAGTGGCGCGAAATCCACAATTGGAGGAGCGTCTGAAGCTGTGCGCTATGAATGCCGATACGCCCGATTGGTGGGAGCCGGGCCGACACGATAAGGAACTGATTGCCGCGGTGCTCAAGCACGGGCTCTATCGCTCCGAGACATTTATCTTCAATGACCCCAACTTTAGTTTTGGTGAATCGGAGAAGCGTTTCATTCGCGAACTGGAGGCACAAATACAGCGCACCATCAAACTGGAGGCATTTAATGCGGAAAAGGCAGCGGCAGCGGCAGCTGAGAAGGCAGCAGCAGCAGAAAAGGCGGCAGCAGAAAAAGCAGCCTTGGCTGAGAAAGTAGCAGCAGCCGAGAAAGCAGCTGCAGCGGCAGCTGTCAAGCATGAAGTCATCGATCTGGACGATGAGCTGCTCACCAAGGAGAGTGTCATCAAGAAGGAGTCGCCCATCAAGGCGGAAATCAAGCCAGAGTTGAGCACAGATCAAATGGAGACGACAGAGAGCGCAGAACAAACCAACAAAGTAGAGGAAAAGGCAGCAGTCGACGAGGAAGTGGAAGCTGTCGAAAAGTTGGATAAGGATAAAGAGAAGGAGAAGGAGGCAGCGCTGGATGAGGAAGCAAAGTTAAAGTTGCCCAGTGAAGCCACAGACGAAGATGCAATAGCTGTCAAAGAAGTTAATGCTGAAAGCGAAGCGGATGCCGCAGAGATTAAATCCAAGGTTGCTCCTAGCGAAGATAAAATGGATGTGGAGCCAATTGCAGAGAATGGCAATGAAAAAGAAGACGCAACCACAGAACCAGAGTCAGCCACAAACGAAAGCGAGAAGTCAGCGGAAAGTGAGGCGACTGCTGAGGAAAAATCCGAGAAAATCAGCGAAAAGGCAGATGACAAAGCTGAGAAAATGGAAAGCGAAACAAGCAGTGAAGAAAAGCAGCCAGCAGCAGCAGCTGAAAAGGAAGACAAAGAATCGACAGAAATGCCGGAAAAGACAGAAAAAGCCGAGGCTGATGAAAAGCCAAGCGAGTCCAGCGAAGCAGCCGCTAAAGAAACGCCCGAAAAGGAGGCGGAGGCAACAACTGATGCAACAGTTGCAACAACAGCAGCAACAGTTGTTGTTGACACAGCTGAAACTGATGCCGAAGCCGAGCCAAAAATAGAAACTGCTGCTGAAGCAACAACAACAGAAGTCAAGCCTCCAACAGCTCCCACTGTCGACGCGTCAAAGGTCAGCGAGAAGAAGAAGGTGCCCGCTGAACAAGAGATTCTCGATCTGGTTGCCGGCGGACCCACAGATCCCGACGATGATGAAGTGATGAAGGAGAAGGAGAAAGCCGTCGAGGAGGAATGCAAAAAGCAGGCAGCCGAACTCAAGGCACGCTTTCCCGATCTCGAAGTCATTCAGCCGGCAACGGTTAAGCAGCAGAAGCTGGAAAAGCCCAAGCTGGAGATGTGCATGATTCGTTGGTTCAAGGATTTCGCATTGGAGCGTCGCATCGCGCACATTGTTGTCTGTGTGGAGACGAGCAAGTGGCCAGTAGACAAGCATTACAGCGCCTTTGCCGGCCTCAAGGGTGGCGCCTCAACAGATCTCAACATTGCGTTGCTCGAATCCATACCGCATCTGAATAGCATCGAGCGCCGCTCGACAACGCCTGATGTCATCACCATAACCACAGATCAGGGTGTGACCAAGCATCTGCAGGCATCCCAAATGCAACAGGTGGCCAATAGCAATGCGGGCGTGTCCAATGCAGCAGCTGCTGCAGCAGCAGTTGCCTCCATGCAACAGACAACAAAGACGACGTCAGGCGTTGGAGTGACAACGGCAACAACAACGCTGCCTGGCCTGGATGCGAATAGCATAAATGCAGCAGTGGCAGCTGCTGTTGCGGCTGCCGCTAGTGGTGGCAATGCCACCTCGCTCTCTGCCCTGCTGCCGGGCATGTCGCTGAGTGCGGCAACAGCGGCGGGTGCAGCAGCAAGTGCAGCTGCTGCTGTTGCAGCGGGCGGCTTAAATGTGCCCACTGCTGGTGGCGGTGGCGGCGGTCTTGGTGGCACCTCTAACGTGGGCAAGAAACGCAAGCGACACATTGCCATCGATGTGGAAACGGAACGGGCCAAGTTGCATGCGCTGCTCAACAGCTCATCAAGTAAGTTGGAATCGAATCGAGTTCGCTTTATCTAGAACCACTAATTAAACTCTCTCCTCTCTCTATTTGTAGTGGCGCCCAAGGATTGGGAGAGTGAAATTGCCAATATGGAGGCTTTAACCGGTTCGGCGGCGAGACGTGGCGGTGGCTCGGGCGCTGCTGCTGCCTCGGCAGCTGCATTGAGTGGCATGCAACCGCCGCCAGCACATCAGCATGCCTCGCTCTCGCGTCAATCCTCCGGCCAGTTCAATAAGCCCGCTGTGCCAGCGCTAAAAACACCGCCACCCTCAATGGGTGCACCCATGGATCTGTCTTCCAGGTGCGTCAATTTGAGATTGTTTGAGCTCAAGCTATAAAAATACTAATTCGTATTTAATTCACAGCAGCCTGCCCAAAATGAATATGACTGAAATGCTCAAGTCCGCATCGAGTGCGGGTGCCATTGATTTGAGCGAGGTGCAGGACTTTTCGATGCCCTCCAAGAAATCGTCGTCTTCGTCCAGCAGTGTGCATGCGGCGCTCAGCTCCGCATTCCCCTCCATGGCGGGCAGCAAGAGCAAATTGGATGACACGCTCAACAAGCTGATGAAGAAGAACAATTGCGTAAGTCAATCGAAAATAGATCTCTTCCCGGATGAGAAACAATCTTAAATACGTCTCAAAATCTGAATTGCAGACCATTGAGGAGCCCGTCATTGGCAAGGAGAAGAAACGCAAGAAGCTGGATGAGATTGTGCTTGGTTTGTCCGCTGCCAAGGAGCAAAAGACCTTCCCGGATCCATCGCTGCCCTCGTCGAAGAAACCGCAAATACCGCCCAGTGTCTCGGTGACGCCTGCCAATCTGCAGGCGCCTAGCCAGCAGCAATCGAATCAGAAACCGTTTACCATCACTGTGACGACAGTGCCCGGAAGTGAGTTGGAGTCTCTGCGCTTTCATTACTAATATCGCTCCCCCAGAAAAAGCCAAGGCGGCTTTATTCGATCAGGCAATCAATTAAACTAATCAATCATAAATCTCTATCAACAGAATCGAAGAGCGGCGGCCAAGGCAACAGCGGAAGCGGCGCCGGCAGCAGCAGCTCAGCGCAGAGCGGCAGCGGTTTGAGCGCCCTGCAAAACATGGCCATGGGCGGTCTGTCCAGCAAAGACAATCTGAATGCCCTGCTCGCCCAGACAATGGCCACCGATCCGCAGTCGTTCCTCAAGCAACAGCAAAAGATGATGCAATTTTTGCCGCCAGCACAGCGCAAGGCGTACGAGAATACGCTGGCCGAAATGGAGCAGGCGATGAAGTTGAGCTCCAAATACAACACCTCGCAAGATGTCAAGGTCAACAAGTGGCTCTCGGACATGAGCAGCCCCCTCGGCGATCAGCTGAGCATTGATTATGTTGGCAACTCGGCCGGCAACAGCAGCAGCGGCAGCAGCAATAGTCGTCGCGGCAATCGCCAGCAGAGCAGCAGCTCTTCGGCGGCCCAGCAAGCGGCCCAATTACAAAAGCAACAGCAACAACAACAGCAGCAGCAACAACAGCAGCAACAACAACAGCAGCAACAACAGCACCAACAGCAGCAGCAACAATCCATGGCTGCCGGACCACAGGGTCTGACGGGGGAGGAACCGGTGCCGGTGATCAACAAGCAGACTGGCAAACGACTCGGCGGCAACAAGGCGCCACAATTGAAGCGACTCATGCAATGGTGAGTTGACTGTTGTCCTTATTTCTCACTTTATCGGAGTGTTATCAATTCACAGTCTTTTCTATTTCTATTTTATTGCCTATTACTTTAGTTGAAATAAAATAAATTTAATATAATGCTAAATAATTATTCTATTTGTATTCACCCACAGGCTCACCGAGAATCCCAACTATGAGGTGGATCCCAAATGGCTCGAACAGATGCAGAATCCGATGTCGGCGCCATCGCCCAAGCCAAGCAGCAGTAATAGTGGCTTGGTGGACAACAACAGCGGCCTTGGCTATGGCTCCAAATCGCATGGCGGGCGACCGTCGTCCAATTCGAGCAACGCCTCCTCGAGCAGTCACACGCAACAGCAGCCGAATGCGGCACAATCGCCAGCTGGCAACAATTCGGGTGGTGGTTCCACCAAGAAGTCATCGCGTCAATCCCAATCGGCTGCTGCCTTGGATCAGGCCGCATTGCAGTTTGGCTCGCTGGCCGGGCTGAGTCCCAGTTTGTTGGCCAGTCTGCCCGGACTGGGTGCATTCGATCCGAAGAATCCGTTGGCCGCCTTCGATCCGAAAAATCCGCTGCTGTCGATGCCCTTTGGCGGTATGCCCGGCATGGGTAATCTGCCCGGTCTGGGTAATCTCAACAATATGAATCTGTTCGCCAGCTTGGCGGGCATGGGCGGTTTGGGTAATCTCGCTGGCATGGATGCCCAGTCGCTGGCTGCGCTCATGGCTGCTGCGGGTCCAACGCTCGGCGGCCTAACCGGCAGCTCGGGCCTCGGCACCGGCAAGAGCCAGTCGCAGTCCGGCGGCGGTGGCAGCTCCTCCAGTGCCGGTTCCTCTTCAGCGGCCAGCAAGAAGAAGCAGCAACAACAGCAGCAGCAACAACAACAGCAACAACAGCAGCAACAGCAAAACGAGGCAGCCCAACTGGCAGCAGTTGCTGCTGCTGCAGCCGTGAATAGTGGCGGTGGTGGAGGTGGTTCGTCGGGTGGCAAGAATGCTGCCAGTGCTTCGGCATCTCAGTTGGCGGCCGGTTTTCCATTCCTCTTCCCCAATCCATCGCTGCTGTATCCGCCCATGGGTCTGGGCGGTCTCAATCCCTATTCGCTGGGCAGCAGTGGTCTCGGCTCCGCCTACGATCAGTTGGCGCAACAATATAATCTGCTCAATGGCGTTGCCACATCCTCGGCAGCTGTGACTGGTTCCACGCAATCCTCATCCAAATCGCATCAGTCACAGTCGAGCAAATCGAGTAATTCACGCAACGCCTCCAATTCGGCGGCAAATCTAATGAATGCCATGGCCAGCATGAGTGCTGGCACGGTGACAACGCCCAGTTCGACCAGCTCCTCGAGCAGTCGCAGCCGTCAGAGCAGCAGTCAACGCAACTCGGCTGCCTCGGTGACGCCCAGTGCAGCCGATATGGCTCAATTGTCCAGTCTGCTGATGCCCGGCGCTGATCCGCATCTGCTTGAATCGTTGAGTCGCATGAGCAGCATGGATCTGGCCCAAGCCACACGACTGATGAGCTCGCTGGGCATGCCACCGCTGCCAACGACAACGAACAACAGCAGCTCGTCGAACTCGAACAACAACAGCGGCAACAGCAGCAGCTCATCGAGTGCGGCAAGCAAACGTGCTGCGGCCGCTGCAGCTGCAGCTGCTGCCGCTGCTGCCAACGAGGCATCCGCCAAGGAGCAACAGAAATGGTTCGAGAGCATCACACGTGGCGCTCTGCCCGCAGATCTGGCCGCATTGCAGGCCTTCTCGCAGGGCAAAATGCCCTCTTCGTCCAACTCCAATTCGAACTCGTCGAAGAGCTCATCGAAGTCGGCGGCCGCAGCTGCTGCTGCTGCAGCTGCCGCAGCCGCCGCACAGCTGCCACAGATACCGGGCATGTCCAGTGATTTCTCGCAGGCGCTGCTCGCCGAGATGGCCGCCCAGGCAATGGTTGCCGCTGGCGGCTCATTGCCGCTAAGTGGACCCGGTTCATTGGCAAGTCTGGCGGGACTCACTGGCGGCTCCACATCGTCGTCGGGTGGCAACAACAACAGCAGCAGCAGTGGCAGCGGCAGCAGTTCAGCTGCTAAGCGACAACGTGAACAGGATTTGTTCAAGCAGCAAATGGATTTCTATACTAAGTCACTGGGACTGGGATCGGGCATCTCGCTGATACCCACCTCCTCCTCCTCGTCGACTGGCGGCAGCAGCAGCAACAGTCTCAATGCAGCCGCTGCCTATGCAGCCGCCCTGGATGCCGAGCATCTCCAACAGCAACAGCAGCAGCAGCAACACAAGTCGAAACGGGCACGCACAGATCTCCATCCGACAAAGGATGAGCTGGCTGCTGCTGCATTGGCCTTGGGCTTGCCACTGAATCTAGGTGCTGCCAGCATGAGCAGCATCGAGAAGAGTTTACGTGGCGTGAGCAGTTCCAGCAACAATTCAACGCCAGCGCCGCCAACGCCAACACCACCCGACCAGCAGGACAAGGTGACACTGACGCCACTATCGAGTGCGGCGGGTGGCGGTGGTGGCAGCTCCTCCTCCTCTTCCACCTCGAATGCAGCGATTGCCGCCAATCTGCCGTCGCAGACGACCATCACGATTGCGCCGCCGATCAGCAGCGGAGCCAGCACCAGCAGCGAACGATCGGAGCGCAGTGAATCACGCATCTCGCTGACCATTACCAATGCGGCGGATGCGGCCAAGTTGCCGCCACCGTATGAGGAGGCCGACGAGCTGATCATCCAGCCCATACTCAAGAAACCGACGGCGCCCGGCAGCAGTCACAGCGGCAGCGTTGAGGATCTGGATGCCAGCGGAGGCGCTGGCAACAACAACAACAATAATTCCTCGGCAGCCGCCAATCTGAGTGGTTCAAGTGGTAGCAGCAGCTCATCGGTGGCAGCTGCAGCTGCTGCAGCAGCAGCCGAAGAGAATCGACGCTCCTCCAATCGTCTCAAACGTCCACGGTCCGGCAACGAAGGAGGTGGCAGCAGTGGAGGCGGCGGTGGAGGTGGAGCAACTGCTTCGGCTGCGGAACAGCCGCCGGAAAAGCGGCGAGAATTGCGGTCGACGCGACACACGCGACAATCGGCGGATGCGGCGACGCTAAATCTGTCGGCGGGCAGCGAGTCCGAGGAGCGGAATGAATGAGTAAAGCCAAGCTCCTCCTAGCTAGACGATAGCGCCCCAGTGGTGGGCGCCAGAACCAGACAAGGCAACACCAACAGCAACAAAAATATAAATAAAGATAACCAAAATCAGAAGATGATGAAGAAGAAGAAGGCCACACAAGAAACGAGGCGAACCAGAAATGCAAACATAAAGAAGAAGGAAGAAGCAGCAGCGGCAGCAGCAACAACAGTTGCAATTGCAGTTGCAGCTGATGATGAGACAAAAGCACACAAAACGAACTCGAAGCAAAATGTAACGAGTACAACGACGCGAGCTAGTTCCACAAAGAGAACGAGAACGAATGCGACGAGTACTAAAACAACAACAACAGCAGCAGCAACAACAACAACGCTGACGAGAGCGAGAAGAGTGTGTGCGCATAGAAATAGTAGATCCCTTAAGCTTAAAGTTGTGTAAAGTATAAGTAAAAAAAACAAACAAATATATATATATATATATATATAAACGTATATATATATAAATATAATATGCATATATATACATGGTATGCATCTATAGCGAGTAGAAGGAGCGAATGAGTGATTAATCAGAATACTGCTGCTGTGTGCCAGTCTGTAACCAGCTGCTGTGTGACTCTGACGAGTTGTGCACTTCTCGTCGCACAGCAGCAGCGAGTGTAATGCTGCAAAATTAAAAAAAAAACACTCGCTGCTGTTGTCCGCCTAGATTACCACTCTACTTGTCGTTACTCCTGGCCATGTATTCTCAATCAAACTCACTCAGCTCTCCGATGATGATGATGATAAGGCAACCGTTGCAAACTGCTCCATCCCATCCCCCTAACCCCTTGACTCCTCCAACCTTGCCGCACTGCTGCAACTAATGCGCGGGGTGGGTGGGTTAAGAGGCGTGGGTGGGATGAGATGGTTGTTTGTTTGTGCGGGGTTTAATCATACGATTAACGAGTATATTAAAAAAGCGCTTATAATTTAATTGTAACAAAAAGGGAGGAGGGGCAGCAACAGACAGACTCTGTCCGATGAAGAGATGCAGAGAAGAAGAGAGAGGGAGGAGAGGGTGAGGAGTTTGCTGCCTGCTCCTACACACACAGATTGAATAACGGTTTAAATTATTGCAAATTATTATTGATAACTGAGATAAGCAAAAAACACAACAAACAAAACAAACGGCAAGAAAACGCAAGTTTAAACAGCAAACTAACTTAAAAGCAAGAAAGAAAACCACAGTTTAATTGATTCATACACACACACACACTCATACACACCTATTATTATATATACACACACATAATTATATATATATATATATATATATAAATTCATATATATATATATGTATACGTCTAGGATTAATTGGGTTCAATGCTGTCGTCCTTCACAAGAGTTAATCTTAATCACAAACAAAAAACATAAACAAACAAAAAAAAACCTGTACATATTTTAGTATCTTTAAATGGCTCTCGCGTCACTTAACGTTTTATAGATCACATCAGATCGGATCCATGCCCCCACCCTACCCTTAAATCATATATTTCTCTCATTTAATTCTGTGTTTTTTTTTTTAAATATTGATTGTGTGTATGTGAAATCCTCTTCCTTCTGTTTTAACATCCCCCAGCACTTGGTCGTTCTGCCTATGTTATATTTGAGTACTCGATATGTCCTATATATATATATATACATATATTATACATAATACAAATATTGACATTGTCGTCAAATCGCTTTTAATTTTTAATTTTAATTATGTAATTAGTAAACAATTTATATTGCATAAGTTTTAATTTGTATTTTGTATGTTTTTAAAAGTGAATTGAAACCGATCAACGACATACGAGCAAAAGTCTGCAAACGAAATTAAAGAGAAAAACTAAACATTACGACACATAAATACACATCAATCTATAGAAATGTTTATTACAAAATCAAATTTTTCTTAATTTAAATCAATTTATGTAATTGGCGACTGTGCCTCCATGCCCTCCCTACACCACCCCACCCCCATCCACTAGGAACGTACATATATTGAATTATATAAATCCTAACTATATAAATCAAATGGAAATCCTATTTTGTTTGCACTTCAACTCCATTAAACTACAACAAAAATCCATAAAAATAAAGAATGAAAAGAAAGAAAGAAAAGAAAAAAACAAAAAACAGTTGCACCAACAGACAAGAGCAAATAACAATTTAAATTAGAGATGCTAAGTATAAATCTTAATTAAAGTATGATAATTACAACACAACTACAGCAACAACAAGATAAATATATGAAAAATAAATTTCCAAAATTACAACAAATAAATGCATTTTGAATTGGGACCTGGGAAATCCGGGAAAGCGAAACTTCTGATAAGTTATAACTCTATATATATACAGATATATTTTCACGTTCCGACGAAATCGTAAATAAAATACTGCACCATGACTTTGCATAAACATTTTTAATATGCAAATTTGGCAAATCGCAAAAAATTAATATGTCAGCCAAGTGAAGTCGGATTTTGGAGAGTTGTACCTGATTGAAAGCGTAAAATTCCGAACTTTCGATTGCAAAAATATAAGCAAATTGATGTGTATATAACTCGGTGTTGATAGCAGTCGAAGCTTGGAGTGCTGTACAGTTTTTCACTCGTTGAAACCTAGAAGATTTTGAGCTAGTAAGCAATAATTGTAAAAGTATAAACAAATTGACGTCGTTTGGTGTTTGTCTTTCGTTTTTACTACGCAATTTAAGATATATATATATATTTATATATATATATATATATGCTTGTATATTCACAGTAATTGAGTTAAACTTAATTAGGGGCAACAAAAGCTGCTTTTAGCATTGCGATAATCAAGGAATTTCCAATGATAAATTGACATACACAGAACTAATTCAAATTTCGCTGAATTGAGATTTCGTTGCGACCTTTTTTTTTAGGACCAATTGATGGGGTTGGGGGTAGAGTGGGGGAGATAGGAAAAGAACTTACAATAAATACAAAACGTACAAATATGTATAATATACAATGTATAAACTGTGTGCAATTGCATATAAAGCACTTCAACAGCGACGCCCCTGGCGCCACCAAATTGGGGGCGTCACCAGCTCGACAGCTCGTCAGGTCGTCGGGTCGTCGTATAGTAAACTTTGAGTCTTAAAGGCTACAGCTTTGTTAAATTGCGCATGTTGGTTTCCGTTGGCGTTGTTGGAACGAACTAAATGTGATGCAAGATCAGGGATCTCTCGTATGCCTCCTCGAGTAGCATCTGGTTGCGCCGCTTCTCCTCCGGCGTCAGTTCGCGCAGCTCATCGAAACCATCATCCGAATTGGTCGTTTCATCGTTCTCGCTGCCATTGCGCTCCTCGCTAGCCGCCGGTGGCAGCAGCGGCTGCCCAATAATGTGACGTATATCATTGGGCAACGCCTCGGATGCCTTCAGCTGCAGATAGATGGCTTCTGCCGTTTCCAGGGTGCATTTCAAATCGATGGCGCCGGTTAGTTCGTTGACATGTTTTAGGATCTCGGTGAATTCGTATTTTCGATCGATAATCACATTGGTCTCCTGGTCGAGTATCGCCACAGAGATGAGCAGGTGAAAGTTGGCACAGGGCAGACGCGTCCACAGACACTCCCAGAGCCGGAGCACATCGTCGTTGTCCAGCTCCCGCTTGTACCAGACGAGCAGCCAGCGGAAACAGAAGTACATGTTGTCCGAATCGTGACTGCACAAGTAATTGAACAGTGGCGCATTGGCCACCTCGAGCAGTCGTCGGATCAGGGCAAATTGGGTCTTCATGTCCGCTTGATCCATGTCAAAGTTGCCGAGCACCATGTCCATGAAGCCGACAAAACACCAAAACGCATCCACCTCGTTCACTTGATTCTCCAGTATGGGCGCCAGCAGATCGGACATGCCCTGCACATATCCCAGATCAAAGTTGTACATCACATAGGTCATCAGAATGCCCTGCAGCAACTCCAGATTGGGATTATTCTCGCCGGCATAGAACTCCTGCGAGCGATCAGTGCGCTTCACATCCTTCTCAATTTGACACTTGCGATCGCGATAGCCGCTAAAATTCGACTCCTGCGTTTTTGTCATCGACAGCCATTGTGCCTTCATTGTGTAGTATTCCACCGATTTCTGCTTGCGCCGCTCGATGCGCTCCTGTTCCGTATCGGACCACTGATTGTAGTTCAGCAAATATTTCCAGACCTCGGCGCGCAGACTCGGCACAATGCCGCCGCGAAAGATGAGCTCTTTGACGCGCATGCTATCCGAGATGCGTCCATCGTCCATTCGAAATTCCAGCCACTGCTTCTCGTTCAGTGCTTGGCCTGCAATCAAATCCAATCAATATTGAAATCAATCCATTTCTCTTAGATCAAATCTACTTACCACGATGCACACTCTGTCGCGCTGGCAAATTGTTAACTATCTTCTCGTCCTGGGCATTCAGGTTGTCCAGTTCAGCGTCCGCTGGCGACTTGTCGGCGCTCTCGCCGCGACTGTGACTGTTGGAGGAGCAGGCGCTATTGGTGCTGCCACTCATCTTGATGATTTGATAGTGCTGATCCGGCGACGTTTGCCGATCGCCGTGCACCAGCGAATTGGGACGCGATTTGGGTGATCGTTGAAATGATGGCTGCACATAGTCCGGTATGGTGCCGAAGATGCTGACCAATTTATGGGGCAACCAGCTCTCGCGTGGCAACTGTCTCGCCTTGATCTCATCAATGTCCAGTTCGGTGAATGTCTTCTTCAGCTTTTGATTCTCAGTATTTAATATGGCGTATTCCTCGCTGCCATTGCGACTCGTCTCGGAGCTCTCGATGAAATGCTGCTGGCGCATCGAGCGCAAAAATAGCTCAGCATTGCCATTGTGAAAGAAGAATTCGCAGTGGACGCCACTGTCCGACTTGCGCAGGAATCGTATAGTCTGTCCGCGATTCCCCACCTCAACCGCCGCCAGATCATCCATCAAGGCGCGCATTATTCGAGCACGCGTTGCCATCAAACCACCACCATTCCCATTGCTGCCCAGCTCCACGGGCTTTGTGTTGAACGCATTGCACTCGGATGAGGTGCGTGTCCGACCCGATATTCTGTCGACCAGCGCCCAATCGCCCTGATCCTGACTATCGTTGGCCACCATAATGCTATCGTTCGGCTGCCACTCCAAATAGAGGCGACGCCGTGGCAGAGTGTACTCCACCAGGGAGAGGGAGCCGCTGGTGTTCAATTCTGCGATGTGTTCCGCAATCGCCTTCTTCAGCAGCACTCCGTCATGTGTGCATAGCACCTGCAGCCATAAATGCCATCAAATCACCAATTTAAATTAGAGCGCACCGAAAATGAGTCAGAGTCTAATCAAAGTGAACAAAGACTTTGACGACTTTCAACTTACGTTGCCCGTTCCCTGGGGCATGTCGGGGTCGGGCATGGTAACGCCCACTTGGGATTCGGGGAGCACGCCCAGCTGTATTTGCTGGCAGCGCTCGTAGCGCACCGATGTGTTCATAGCGATGACCAGCCGTATCCGTTTACCAAATCAACCAATAAAATTTTCTGCAAATTATTACGTTCTAGATATAAACAATTGAATTTTACAATAAATCTAGTGTGTACACACTGCAAATGCAGCGCTGCCAACTTGTCTGCACCATTTGCCGATATATATACGATGTAAATGCGCAGCGTAGGCAACTCTGAAGAACTGCGATATTTTATGTTCAAAATTATTCAGATAATACGGAACCAAAATAACCTTAATCAAATGATGATTTTATGTGCCTATGAAGTATTTTTATATGGTATGCATTAGAGTGCAGGCAAGGCGAATATTTGTATTGTCTGTAGCAGTGTGTACACATCAAGAGCGTGCCTTTAATTGACGGTTAAATTCAAATATAAGGATCGTTAAAATTTGATTTATTTATTTTTTTAAATTAACTAAAGTTTATGACTTGCTATTTGCATTTTGAGTTTTATGTGTCTTATAAATAATGCTCTTCGCCAGTTCCGTGTGCAAGCGTAAAACATTTGAAAATGACTTGCAACACAATTTAAATTTAATCACAACCATGGCCATTGCTCGCTCGCAATTGATCCGAGAGCGAAAGTAAATTTCTTGCACTCTACACTCGTCGGCATATGACACTCACCGATCATGTTTGGCTCTGGGGTAGCGCATGCCGGAACACGAACGTTCAGCGATTCTTTTGAAAATAGGCATTATATGTTGCATGTGTGTACCTGCAAATATTTTCCCGAATCTTGTAAATAGACTGAAAGTGCCCCACTCGTGTATGATAAGTGCGAGTGAGTTTTCTCTTTTCTTGTTTTCTCGTTATCCGAAGTGCCGACGTTTTTCCGAATGGCAATCGTAGCGCCGCCGAAAATGATTCGAAAGCATCTTGGGCAGTTTTTGAAAATTGGACGAGCGTTCAGTTTGCCTTTTGAGACTTGGACGATCGAAACGTTTATCTTGTCGCGTTCTTAGAACAAAAAATAGAACAAAAAACAAAAAAAAAACATTTTCAGAAAACTGAAACTGAATATTTACAGGTGGGTGAATTTATCCATGCTGAGCAATGACCCACTGTTCCCCCGGCCTTCTAACAAAATTTGGCAAACTTTTCAATTGAATTTGCCATTGAGAGCATTTAAACAATTTTCGGGCAAATAGATAATTTATTTTCTAAAAAAACAAGTCTATTGTTCTATTGTGTTATGTTCAGATTATATAACATGTGATAACACACACATCAAGAAAAGTGATAACAAATAAATACTAGCAATAAGCTGCAAAATTCTAAAAATCAAAAGTTCGCCTCGAAGGGTTCAAGATGAGCGTACTTGAAAATTGGCCAAGAAGCGCAAACACTTTTTATAGACAGATTTTGATGTGTCTATCAAATGTATACATAAGCACAGATATATGTAGATATATACATTTTGGCATACTTTACTTGAAAAACATGGCCACCAAAGTTTTTATCAATGAATGCGAGAAATACATATTGTGACCAGATGAATTAAAATTGGCATTTCGAATTCATGTCAAATATTTGCAGTGACCTTTAAGCATAACTCTTTAGAGTTTTGGATTCGTTCTGATCGTGTGATATCTTTCTCTCTCCTCTGATTATTTTCTCTTTCTGTGTGTATGTGTGTGTGTGTGTGTGTGACACAGTGTTTTTTTTTCATTTATCGGATAAAAACAACGGCAATAGAGCAAAAAACATGAACAATTTTCTCGTCGATCGCCGTTGGGACAGAAATAGCGCCACCCACCCAAAAATGTTTTGAAACTGTATTTTGTATTTGGTTTACAGCGCATTTCGCGTCGTCGATTGGCTTAATTGGGATGAGCAATAAACGGGGGGATTGCACACGATCTCAGCAAATATCTCAAATATTTACGTTCTCTTTCTCCCTGGCAGGTGTGTGCCATGGAGAAATCGTGTCGCCCCAAGCGCAATCGTCGCCACAGCAGGTGAGGAATGATCGGGGTTGAGGGATGAATATGAAAACAGATTCTGACTCAATAATTTTAGACGTGCCTGGCCACCGGAGGATGATCTGCAACTGGCTCGGGCTACGAAGCGGCTGTTTACGCCGGATATTAAGCGCATGCTCAAGGATTGGCTGATACGGCGCCGCGACAATCCGTATCCCAGCAGAGAGGAGAAGAAACTACTGGCCGGAGAGACGGGACTGACGTATACACAGATCTGTAATTGGTTTGCCAACTGGCGGCGCAAGCTAAAAAACTCGGAACGCGAAAAGGCAAAGAAGTCATGGGGCCATTTAATCAAGAACTACAATCACAACGCTCGCGGCAATGTGGAGCAGTTTAGCATCTCGTCCGAGGACAGCATTTGGGAGGAGGACATGCGTGGTCCATGCGCAGCCCACAATGATGATGATGATGATGCTGACGATGATGACGATGCCGAGGATGAAGATGAGCTATCGAGTCGCAGCACAGGCACTGATAGCAATGGCCACAATGCCTCCTCCTCCTGCTCCGCACCATACAAGCCCAACTTCTACGTTGAATGCACGGCGCAGCCAGATCGCAATAAGAGCTGCCGTGTGCCCATGTTGCCCACGGTGCCGGTGGGCAAGGCCAAGTACAAACAGCAGATGATGGAGAAATACCTGCGCGACAGCAATGCCCTGGATGATGACAGCATGACGACAACAGGTGCCACTGATAACAATGGCACTCAGCTGAACAAGTGGCTGGAGAGCGCAGCCAGATTTACGCCGGACAGGCACAACTATCACATCGAGTGGAATATGAGCAGGTAAAACGATGACAGTAAAAGTCCTTGCAGCGAGATTGATAAAGAGGGAGATAACTTCCAAAAGTCATCTCAAAAAGTACATATTCTGGGTCATCAAATTGGTATCTCAATATTTCAATTCTTAATGAAAGTTATATCACAATGGGCCAAATCTGATCTATGTGTTTGGATCGACAGCTGTCTAATCTAATCTTTTTGGACTTGTTAAAGATATCTGGCGCATACTCAAAATGAATGTCTTTATGCTCGAACCACTTTATCATTTAGCTGTAATATGCAGAATATGCCCAAAATATTGTAGCTTGGCTCTACAGAAATGTGTGCTTACTTTTACAGGCAAAAGTGCGGTGGCCAGGAGCGACCTATGGCCTTGCCTAGTCAGTTGCTGTTTACCAGTGATGCAACAGCTGCGGCACGTGGCGAGCGTTGGCTGCTGCATCACAAGGACGAACTGGATGCCGCCGAGGCGCTGGCCAATTTGGCTTTTAATTGCAGACAGCGCTGGCATCATATGGCGACCACGATCAGCTCCTCCTAAGGCCTTGACATGGACTTGGCCGCTGACGCCAACATTCCAGGCCGTTTGGAAAAGTGCAATCTAGTTACATATATACGTATAGAGCCAGTTTAAGTTTGTAATTTTAGTATGAAAGACAAATTGAATATATTCTATTTTTTTTTGCTGTTATTCTTACAGTGGTTGCTCGTTAATTGCAACTTTAGAACATGAAATCATTTTTGTTGGTTTAACTGGACTTAACTCAAAACTCATTTAAAAAACCATATTCATTAAGTCTACAATTTTACATGTGGCTTACAAAATGAGGACTTTCTCTGTGATTCTACAGTTCCACTTAACGAGTGTCTACTGTCTTATCAAATTATAATTTACGTATTTGTTTCCTTCACATCCGTTGTCGGCGCCGCATCGCTTCCGCCTTTGGCATGGACGTCCAGCACCTTGACCAGATTGCACTGATGCGCCTGCAACTGTTGCACCACAGTGCCTGCCGCCATGTTGAGCGTCTGTACCAGCTGGGCCTGGGCCGACTGCAGGCCGGGCAGCTGGGCAAAGTTGATCAGCTCGTTGCGGCTGAGCAGCGTGTTCTCCACAATGCCACCAAGCAGCACCATTTGCGGCACTTTGCGGGTGAGGCGCAACAAAGCGCCCACACGCTGCTGATCCGGCGAGAAGACGATGCAGTGATTGGAGTGGAACAGCGGCATAATCGCCTCGTATTGTGTGCCGGTCACAGCCTGGGCAATGATCTTCCGGCCGTAGGATTTCAGATGCATATTTTGTTTGTGCAGCTGGACACGCACGCGAAAGATCTCATCGGCTGTGATGGAGTTCAAATGGAAGATGGCCACTAGGCGGGAGTGATCCAGCCAGTTGCGCACTTCGCGCGCTATGATTGCATTGTAGGGATTCTCTAGTTGAGCCGCCGTTCGTTGCGCCCGCGACTGAAAGCAGGTTAAAGCCTTAGGCGGCTCTGGATATTTGGGCTGTGTGACGGCAACGACACGTGCCCGCTCATAATGCGGCTCCTTGGGTCGCTGTATGTTAATCTTGCCGCGATGGCGCATCAGCTGCAGCAGTGGCGTCCGCGCCGACGTCAGAGGCAGGCCTACCAAATAGTGAGTAAATAGTTTCGTACATTGTATAACCAGAATCCAGAAACAGCTGTAGCTGCTGGCAATTCAACACGATTGAACATGTTTGTAGCAAGTGTGCCTACCTTTTTGTATTAGATTTGCCATGTTTGCGGGTTGTTAACACTTAATTACCAATATTTGTATGCACCTTTATATACTATTAACAAATAAATAATAAAAATACGTCCACTTGCAATGCTCAATATTTCGATGGTAATATATGTATATCGATAACACTAAATGTGCGCAAGTCAGCTGTTGCAGCTTAACAGTTTTTTAAATGTTAATTTTACAGCCGCTGTTATTACTTGGTATCCGTTATCCGCAAACTGTTCTCACTGCACAATCAACTTTGCCAGTCAAGTTTTAGATATTTTGTTAATAATCCAATGACTTTAAGCTTCCAATTGCTGCTGCAGGCTTAAGAACTGTTTTTAGTATTTCAGATATATATTAATTAAACTTCCACACATAATGCATAGGTATAGAATTTATTTAATTACAAGTATAACATTAACATCTATATATATGTATATATAGATCTATATTTATATATATATATAAATATTTATGTGTTTGTGTGTTCATATATATATATATAAGTTGCATTTCGCTAATGGATTCTCTTCTTTTTATTTTCTGTGGGCTCATAACGGTCTATCGTACAACCAACAACTATTGTGAATGAACTGGGGACACTTTTTCTTTAGAGCAGAGAAGAAAATCAAAAGGTTTTTGAAAATAAATGAAACAAATGGTTTAACAGAAAAAGTTTATTGAATTTGTTTATTAATTCACTTAGAAATAAGTGTAATTTAATCGGTTTCTTCATCATTATTTAACTTAAAAATAACTAAAAATGTCTTAAAACAATAGCGTTTCATCTGTTCTTCTTCTTGTTGTGTGTTACTGACAAATATGTTTTTACTTGCGATTTACTTCTGATCATTTTTCATATCCCGTATCTTTATCGTGTTATATAATGTACAGTTTTAGTTTTAAAACATACAACTAAATACGCGCTAAACACTAATTAAACTGTATTTACATGTACATGAATTATCGTTTAGACGCTAAATAATTTAAATATTTTACAGTTGTTTTTTGCTTTTTCGTCACATAATTTACAAGTGGGCGTGAAAACGTTTAAGTTTAAGGAGTGTACAGAGGGGATTTCTTTTATCATCTTCATTTTTCTTTACTCTCATACATATATAAATTTGTGTATATATATATATATATATATATATATTTGTGTGTATTGTGTATTGGGTGTCTGTATGTGTTTTCTTTTAGTCAGCAATGGGCTTAAAATATATGTTTTTATGTGTATATGTATATATATATATATAGTTAAATATATATATAAATACGCACTACGACTACTGCCCTAGCAATTTACAAAGTTTCGCGCAAAAGAGAACTAAAACATTTAAATTAGAAGAATGGAAACGTCTTTGCTTGAATTAATTCCGTGTAGTGTTTGTGGCAGTGATGGTGTTCTTGTTGTTGTTGTTTCTGTTGTAGTTGCTATTTGACGTTATCAAGCAAAACACAGGCGGAAAAGATTGAAACAGGGAACGGAACTTGGACACAATGGCAACAACATCCAAAAATGCCAAGCAACGTGGAGTCGCCCATTTCGGAGGCGCCTCCTCGTTGAAGGGATTTTTGGTGGCCAATTTGCAATCCGAAAATGGATATAGATATATAAGTATATATTATAAGCAACAAGGAAATAAGAAGCTTGTCTCTAAACGTTAAAATATTTGGCTTAACACATATTTGTTTATAATAATTAAATAGATGTTTAATAATTGTAATTTATATGTATGTGTGTGTGTGTATATATGTATGCATGTATGTTGTATGTATTCATGTATTTATATGTTGTAATATGTTTGTAATTGTAGGAAAAAAGCCTCTGGGCGCAACTATAAACCTAATTGTGCTTAAACAGCAGTTGTTGTTGTTGGCGACAGGTGGCGCTCAATGGCGTTCTTCGGGTCCATGCGACACAAGCGAGCCTCGTTGATTGGCTCGTGCACCACATGGAGCCGAGGAACAAACTTTGAAACAAATTAGAATAGAGAATAGTTGTAGTTGGAGGAGACTCTATAGGATCTGTTAAACTACGTCTACTTCTTAATTAGGGCTTTCGAAACTTTGTAAAATGCCAGCAGTAACTGGGGCAGGGCGTATGTGTGTGTGTTTCTTCTTGTTGTTGTTGTTGGTGTGGTTGTGGTTGTGTGTGTGAAGTTATTCACCAATCAAAAACTTAAACGTGTTGCTTTCTTTACTCTTTTTGTTTTTTGTTTGTTTTTTTGAGTTTTTTTTTGTTAAGAGGATAGTAGGGTTATATGTATGTATGCTTGTATGTATGTAATGGTAGTAGTATGTAGTACAGTAAACAGTTAGGTTTTTTCTTTCCTTAAGCATTTTTCATTCACATTCGTTTTTCCTTTTTTTTTTGTTTTGTTTTCTTTCATTATCATTTTCATTTTCATTTTAAATTAAGCAAAAAATAAAAACTTTCTTGAGATCAAACTTAACGATATACTTTGCAAGCTTTCAAAAAGTTGTTAAATTTAAATTATTTATTATGTATATTTAAAGACAAAAATGTAAACGAAAGAAACGAATTGAAGACTTCGACAAATACAATTTGCATTTGTTGTTGGTTTTTTTTTTTTTTGGGCTGTTTACGTGTTGTTGTTTTTTTGTTTTAGTTTTACGGATTTACATTGGATCGTGAATAGTTAGTTGCCAACAAACATTTGATCGTTTTTACATACAGTATGAGTTTGGCCTCAAATGTGTTTTACTCTCTCCCTCTCTCTGTGTCTCTGTCTCTTGCATCTATTTATATATTCAATAAAGTTTGCATTTTTTACTTTCATCTTCTTTACTTTTTTAGATTTTTTAAGGTTTTCTTTTGTTTTCTTTTCTTTTTGCTTCCTTAAACTTTTGTTTTGTTTAATCGCTATTTAAAATTACTTAAAATACTAGAAGAGCGTAACTTGTTTTTGTTTGTTGTAGTAGTAGTTGGTAGTTGTTGTATTATTGGTTGCTTGTTTGTTTTGCTTTCATTTTGTTTACTTTACATGTGGTTGTTGTCTCAGTTGTTGTTATTAATTTGTTCTGGCTGGTAATATATAAAGGAATTGCCGGTTGTTGTTGTTGCTGTTCTTGTTTCAATTTGTAAATCCGATGGGAGCTTTCCGCCTGGTTAGCCTGGCTAGACGGTTGCAATGACAATCAATAGATGCGCCAATTCGGCGACACGATTCTTGAGATCGGGCGCAGCACGCTCCAGATTCTCGTTGGCGAAATCACAAGCGGGGAATATGTGCACCACATAGGCAGCCTGCTCGCTGCCCGGCACCGGTATATTCACAATGCCAGCGGCCATCTTCTGCTGCAGATACGTGATGAAACCAGTTTGCAGATTACGCGAATGCTGCAACACATCAGCATGATCACGACCACATGGCAAAGCCAGCAGCATACAGTGCTCCTTGTCCACCTATGGAGTAATTAATTAAAATTAATAATTTGTGATTAGTGATTTACTTAATGGTTTAAGCCGAAGCCAGCTGATTTATAATTATCATTTAATTCAACGATTACTGATCGACAAATAGATTTGTTGGAATGCGTTTACACACCTGCATCTTTTTAGCAACACCCTCGAGCTGCGTCTGCTCGAGACGCATGCGCTGAGCGATGCGCAACAGGGGCGTTGTGCTCTCCGCCAGGCTGGGCAGCGAGGCGCGCGCCACATTCGGATTGCCGTGCACAAAGTGCATTTGGACAGCTGCCTGATCGGTCTTCAGCGCAAGCAGACCCTGCCACATCACTGGATAGCGTTGCAACAGCGTGACAAGCGAATCACCTGGTGGGGGTGCAATTGCTGGCTGTGGTGGTGGACCTGGTTGTTGTTGTTGTTGTCCGGGCAGTTCCATGCCGCCGTGCAGCACAGATGACGATAGATGATCCTGCTGCTGCTGCTTGGCTGTGAATTGAAGATGATGGGAATGTGTTATGACTGTTGCTGCTGTGTGTTGTTCGAGAAGTAAGAAATACTCACCAACTGCTGCCACCATTGAGAGACGTTCGTTTTCACGTTCACGTTCGCGTTGCTCCAAGAGCTTGGCCTGGCTGGGATGCAGGGAGACAGACACTGAGGCACCGCCACCTATGTACGGACTACTGGAGGAGACTGATGGCGGCGGTGGCACCACAACACTAATCGAAGCCGCCGCTCGATGCGCCGGCGGTGGCTCCAGCTGTATGCCAGCGCTCTCATAGTAACCGCCACGCGTAGCCATATCGCTGAAATGGGCGTGCGGAATGCGAGCATTGTGCACATACACCTGAGCCATCTGCGGTGAGTCTGTAAGCGAGATTGAAAAGTGGATTAAGTCTAGTATCAAGCGGAATTCGAGATTTATGCTCAGCTGCTTACCAGCTGCGGTGCGATCCTGTGGACTCTGCAGGCTGTGCGGCACAGCAATGGTGCGTGGCGGTCCACTGCCCGGGCGACGCAGCTCCAGTGGCGGACTGTTGCTGATCATTTTGTCATCGTAGTCAGTGCTGCGCATTATGTGATGCTGGTACAGCATAGCGCGAAGTGTCGTATCATTCTGTGAAAGAAGAAAAGCAAATTAGAAAATGCTTGCCAGACGATTGCTTGGTCAATGTTAATTGTTAGCTATTAGGTTGTGGGGACGAGACTTGGGTTACGCTACTTCAAAGTTCCGCATGTAAAACTTGTGCATTACCGGTGTTATGGGCGATGCCTGCTGATGGGCGGGCGGCGGGCTCTGTGTGCAACGACCGCTCACATAGACGCCCAGATCATGCTGCGTCCATTGGGGATTAGCATTTTGTTAAAGGTTAGTAAGTTAGTCAGTAACTAGTAACTAGTAAAAGCTTGCCAGCAAGCAATCTTGGTTTTAGTATTAGTGATGGCTATAAAGGATGACTTACCATGCTGGCATCGAAGGGTGGCGGCACACCGGGCATACCCGGCGGCAGCACCAACGGCGAGACGCGCGGCTGTCCTTGCGGACTGATGTTTGGTATGGCGGTACGCATAACTGGATAAACAAAATTATAAAGTGCACAATTAGTCGAGAGTTGTCGCATGATGGAGGAGCACCGTTGAAAACTTACCTGCAGCTGCAGTGTTGGCTTGTTGCTGTCCTGGTTTCATCGGTGGTGGACTGCCAATGCTGCCGGGCATCATTTGACCCGCCGCCTGTAGACTATGCACCACTGGATTGGGCTTACCGGGCGGCGGTGATGGCGTCAATTGATGCTGTTGCGGCTGCAAATGCACCGCTGGCTTTGACTGCAACAACAGCGCCGGATGATGTGTGGGCAGCAGCAGATTGTGTGGAGTCAGCTGCACCGGTGGTGAACTCTTCTGTTGTTGCACTGGTGGTTTATACAGTTGTTGCTGTTGCACCATTGGCTGCTGCTGCTGTTGCTGTGGCGGCGCCTGTTGAGCATAGCCAAAGTTTTGCTTGTTTATCTGCTGCTGGTTTGGCAGTTGTTGCTGTTGTTGTTGATGTTGTTGTGGCAAAACTGAAGCCTTCGAGCTAACCACATGCAAGATTTGTGGATGTGGTGCTGCTGTTGCATTAACAGCATTAGCCTGCTTGATGACCAGCGTCTGCTGTTGTTGCTGCTGCAGTGGCGCAGGATTGGGTTGCTGCTGTTGCGCGACTGTTATTCGCGGCGAGTGCGGCGAATGCGCTGCTGGTGGTGGTATATTCACCAGCAGATGCTGTTGCTGTGGTGTTGGCTGCTGCTGCTGCTGTTGTCCTATCAGGTGACGAGCCATAATATTTGGCTGCAACAGCTGCGGATTGCCGGCAGCATCTGTGAGCAACATGTGGCCAGCATGCGCTGGTTGCTGTTGCTTGTTGGGCGTCAACTGTTGTTGTTGTTGTTGCTGCTGCTGTTGTTGCTGTTGCTGTAGATTCTTCTCGCGATTCAGCACATGCGCCTTGAGTGGTTGCGGTGGACGCACTGTGCTGTGCTGCGCATGCTGCAAGACAGTTGTCAGCACCAGAGGCTGCTTGTTTGGCAACTGTTGAAGCTGCTGTTGCGTAAACTGCTGTTGTTGTTGCTGCTGCTGTTGGTGCTGTATGAGCAGCGTAGGCTGTGTATTGGGCGTGGTATTGCTCTTGACCAGCACGCTCAGCGGTTTGTTATCCTGCACCTGCAGCTGCACCGGTTTGCTCAGTGTTGTTAGGGGTGTGACCGGTGCAATAACTGTGGCACTGATTTGCAACGGTTGCTGTTGTTGATGCTGCTGCTGCTGCAGCTGCTGTTGTTGTTGTTGCTGCTGCTGCTGTAGTGAGGTTGCCTCGTTGCTGCTATTAGCGGGCGCCGCCGCATTCGCTGCCGGCAAATTACCTTCCTTGCCCTGCGGCATTCCGGCCGTAATTATGCCTGTGACCGGGTCAATCAGAGCCTTGCTGACCGCATCCGCTGCACCGCCAGTTATCTTTTGTGTTGCTGCTGGTGCAGCGGTTTGATGCATGGGCGGCATGGATGAGTTGATGGCCTGATAGGATTCGATTTCGGCAGCGGCAATTGCCTTCTTTTTGGGGTGTTGTGGTGTGGGTTTCGAGATGACCACGGGTGGTGCTGGCGGCGGCGGCGGCAGTGGTTCAATGACAGCCGGCTGTTGTTGTGGTTCCTTAACTTCTGGCAACTTTTGTTGTTGTTGAGGTGGCTGTTGTGGTTGTTGTTGAGGTTGCTGCTGTGGTTGCTGTTGCTGTGCTTCTACAACAACTGTTGCTGCTGGTGTTGGTACTGTTGGCGGTGCCGCCACTGTTCCTACTGTTGCTGCTGTCGCTGTTGTTGCTGCTGGCGGTGGTGGCAGCAACACTGGTGTTGCCTCCTCCTGTTGCTGCATGCTAGCTGGCAGCTCGCAAATCGTCTTGCGATCCTTAGAGCGTCTGGGCCTGCCCACTGCATTAGGCGTTTGTGCAGCATCCGCTTTCTTTGCCTGTGCATTGCGGCCGGAGCGACGCGGTGGTGTTTGTGCGCCCTTAGGCAACTGTTGCTGCTGCTGCAGCTGTTGTTGCAATTGTTGTTGTAGCTGCTGTGTGTTTGTATTTCGCACCACATCTTCGATGATGTCATCCACAGTGCTGCGATCTTCCTTCTCTTGCAGACGACGCGATTTGCGCGTGCTTGTGGACTCACAGCTGTCCGAGTTGTGCTCCAGCTGAGGATGCGAATGTTGCTGCTGCTGCTGCTGGGACTGTTGCTGCTGCGACTGTTGCTGCTGCGACTGTTGCTCTGTTTGTGCCTCAAGTTCGCTGCTGTTCTTGAGCTTGTTGATAGTTAGTATGAGACGTGGACGCGTTTCCTCACCAGCAGCTGCCGCTGCTGCTGCATTTGTTGTGGTTGCTGCAGTTACTGTTGTTGCTGATGGTGCAGTATTGATTGTGGTTGCCTTAACCTTGGGCTCTGCATCGCATGCATCATCATTAAACTCGTAAATGTCCTCGCTGGAGCCGCCGCTTGTTTGCGTCAAAGCCTGATTGCGTGCCTTCTTCTCTGCAGCTGTTGGCACAGGAATCGGGGCAACTGTGGGCGTTGTTGTTGGGGCAACAGCCTCTTTCGACTGCGACTGTTGTTGCTGTGCCAGCTGTTGCTGTTGAAGTTGCTGCTGTTGCAGCAGCAAATTACGCGGCGGTCTGCCTTTGCGTCCGCGCGTCACAGGTGCCGTTGCTGGTTTGCGCAGACGAGTGTGGACACCATTATCGCCCGGCGAGAGCGGCAGACTGGCATCGTTGGCATTTGCCGGCAAACTGGCGACGACGACAGCACCTTGTTTGGCCTTGGCGCCACGCGGTTGGCGGCCACGTTTGGCAGTACCGCCGCGTGCGCTAGGCGGTCGACCAAGTTTCAGGGTCTTTATGCTCATCTGACGCGTTTCAGTTTCATCCTCGGTGTCGTGGTCATTGTTGGAAGCAATTGTTGCCGTTGCAGCAATTGTTACAGATGCTGTCGCCGCTGCTGTTGTTGCGGCACCACCTGTTGATGGGGGTTCTGTGGCCAAAGCTGGCTTTGAAATCTCCTCAACTGGCGGCGACTGCTTTTGAAGCGGTTGCTGCTGCTGCTGTTGTTGTTGCACAACAACTTGTTGCTGTTGCTGCTGTTGTTGCTGCTGCTGCTGCTGCTGTTGTTGTGTTGCTGTCCGCTTGTTTTGATTGTCTTCCTTGGCCGCAGCAGCTGTTGCTGGATCAAGTTTCTTGATGACACTATCAATGTTGACCTCCTTGGCTGACCAGTAATCGCTGTCCACCTCCTTCGAGTCCTGCTCGATGAGCTCATCCTGCTTGGGTTGCGAAATCTTGATCACATTCTCCTCGGTGAGCAGTGAAGAGGCGGCGGCAGCAGCTGCAGTGGCTGCCTTGTTCGCCTGCGGTGAACCCGCCAAGTTTATGGTTGGCGTTGGCGTGCGTATCACCGAAACACCTTCCGATGTCTTCAATGGCAACACTGGGGCAGGTGACGTATCCACGACAGCTGTTGTATCCTTGGGTAGTGGTGGATAGTGTATGGCTGTGGTCGCTGTTGGGGCGGGCACAATCTGCTGCTGCACAATGATCTTCTGGGCCGGCGGCGCACTTTGTATAACATTCAGCGTTTGTGGTTGTTGTTGCTGCTGCTGCTGCTGTTGTTGTTGTTGTTGTGGTGACGATCGTACCAGTATTGCTGAGGTATGTTGCTGCTGCTGCTGCGCCTGTGGACTATGCTGCGAGCTGTGGGCACTTGCATTGAGTCCAGTAGGACTCACTTGCTGCTGCTGCAAGTTGCGAGGCAGTTGCTGATGTTGCTGCTGCTGCTGTTGTTGCTGCTGTGCAAACATTGATGGAGGCGTTAAGTGTGTTAGTGGCTGTTGCTGCTGTTGTGATTGCAATTGTTGCTGCAGCTTTTGTATGTGCAGCTGCTGCTGTTGTTGATGCTGATGCATTTGTTGCTGATGTTGCTGTTGCAGCTGCTGTTGATGTTGCTGCTGTTGAGCTTGATATTGCTGACGCGCTTGATGCTGCTGCTGTTGTTGTTGCTGCTGCTGCTGCGTGGGCAGTGAATGATGAAGACCTGGCGACAGCGGCGGGTGTTGCATTTGCTGTTGCATGTGCTGCTGCTGTTGTTGTTGTTGCAATTGTTGTTGCTGATGCTGTGGCGGCAACTGCTGTTGTTGTTGCCGCTGCTGCGGCGGCTTACGATCCAACATTTGCTGATGTACCTGCATATACTTTTGCAATTGCTGCTGTTGCTGTTGCGAATTCATCTTGGACAACATTTGTGGCGAGAGCTGTTGCTGCTGCTGTTGTTGGTGTTGTTGATGTTGCTGCTGCTGCTGCGCACTTATATGCAGATTTTTGTGCGGTGGCAAACTGCCCATGGGTGGCGAGTTGGTCAACTGGCTGGTTTGTATTGCCTGCTGCGGCTGCACGGTAACAACTTTGCTAATGATTGTCGGATGATGCGACACCGGCAATGCTGGCATCTTCTGCAATGGCATTGGCAACGGCAACAATTGTGCAGCTGTTGGTGCACCCGCCGATGATTGCAACTCGATGACCGACTTTGATTGCTGTATTTGCTGCTGTTGTTGTTGCTGTCGCGATAGATAGCTGTTGGGCGTGTTTGGCGGCAACTTGACGCTGCTTGTCGGCGATGTTGTTGTTGTTGTTGCAGTAGCACGCGATGTGGGACTGGGCAGCGGACTCATGTTGAGATTGCTGTTGCTGCCAGTGGGCGAATGCAACAGTTGTTGCTGCTGCTGCTGTTGTGCTGTCATAACAACTGGCCTAGCTGCTGGACTTAGCTGACGATTGGGCGTACCGCCGCGTCCCGGCGACAACAACGGACTATGCGGCGATGGTGCACGCATGCCCATCATAAAGGCCCCAGGAGTCTGATGCTGCTGCTGTTGTTGTTGTTGTGGTGACAATATCAGATGTGGCACTACAAAATGTGGCGCTTGCTCTGGTATCGAAATTGTTGGCGGCTGCATGATCAAAGATGGTGTACGTTGTGGCGGCAGCTGCTGCAACTGTTGCTGCTGCTGTGCTGTTGTTGATGGCAACTGTTTTGGCGTCGAAGCCTGCGGCATTGTTTTCAGTGTTGTTGTGGGACTGCCAAAGGACAGCGACGCAGAGCTATTGCTGCTAGGTGTGTTCGAGCAATTGGCAATAACATTCGACAAATCTAAATTGATGACGGGTGTCAGAGGCCGAGCGGCGGCAGCAGCAACAGTAGGATTTGTTGCAGCTGCTGTTGCTGATGCTGTTGGAGTGGTAACAGTTGCCGAGGGCGCTGGCAACACAGTTTGCACTGGCTGCACAAGCGGCTGTTGCAACTTGCTAATGGTGGGTGGTTCAATTTTGTGCACTGGTCGCGCAGACACATTGCAATTGTTGTTGTTAATGGCCAGAGCAGCAGCAACCGTTGGTGGCATGGGTAACAGCAGCGGCATCTTCGTTATCACTGATGGCTGGGTCGGCGTTGACGGTGACTTTCTCACCTTGAGTTCAGGTGATTTGCTGGCGCTGCGATTGTCACATTTGTCAGACGAACTGTTGCTGTTGCTACTGTTGCTGTTGTCTTGCTGCTCCTGTTGTTGTGTTGGCGTTTCATCGATCTTCAAGGTGGGTCCGCTGCTATCTGCCTCGTCGGCATTCTCCTCGGTGTCTGTGTCAATTTGCAGATCACGTTCGGATTGCGGCGTATCCGCCTTGATGTCCATATCCTCACGCAAACTTTGCACCGCTTTGTTGACCTCCTCTGCATCGAGGACCACTCCACTCACAGAGACAACAACAGGCTCCGGTTCGGGTTCCGGCTCTGTTTCGGGTTCGGGCTCATTGGCGACCTCTTCGACGGCGGCTTCAATGGCCTTGGCGGCCAGTGCTGCCTCCTCATCCGGTTCGGCTACAACGACTTCCGTAACGGTCGCTGTCATGTCATCCATGCCATCCAGCGAGTAATCCGCTGTAGAAGAGGTGCCAAAACTTTCGCCAAGGAGCGCCGAAACGGCACTCTCTGTCTCCTCCTGCGAAATGGTCACCCTGGACTTGTTGTCCTCCTTGAGGACGCCAGGTGGTGAAGCCACCGGAATCTTTGGCTCATCTGCAAGCGCATCCAGCAGTGCAGTATTGAACTCTGCCGATATGGATTGCACAGCTGATTCGCTTATCTTATCATCAAGTTGTCCATCAAAGCCGGGTATGAAGATCTCCTTCTTCTTGGCCAAGGCAGCGCTGGTTGGCGATGAACTTACTTCGGCTGCTGCTTTTGGTTCAGCAGCAGCGGATGCGGCTGTTGAGGAGGTGGGCGTGGTCACTAGTGGTGCTGCTCCACTGCTCACAGGCGTCTCCGCTGACTGGGTGGATAACATGGAACTGGTGTTCTGACTCGAATTAATGGTGGGCGTCTTTGGAATAGGACTTATCAAGCGCGGCTTCTCACGTGCCGGGGAAAGTGAATCACTACCAGGCAAGCGATTACTGCTGCTGCTCGCCCCACTGCTTGCAGTGCTCGTGACTGATTTTTGCACTGGCACTGGCAGAGGTGGTTCCTCGTCATCATCATCGCCAAGCAGGCATGGCAAACTAGGCGATGGCTTGCAGAGCGGTGAACTGTGCTGCTTGGATTCCCTTTCCAGCTGCTCGCCTGCGTGCTTTGCGGCCGCTTGGACATTGATGGTAAGAGCGGAGCTAATAGAGGAGGTGACAGCGAGCGGCGCAGCTGCTGCTGTTGCTGCTGCCTCTCGACGCAGTTGCAACTGTTGATGTTGCTGCTGCTGCTGCTTGTCGTGCTTCTCCTGCTTCTCTTGCTTCTCCTCCTTAGAGCGCTTCTTCTTTTTCTTCTTATCCTTGCTCTTATGCGCCGCCTCCTTTTCGCTAGCTACTTGCAGTTGTTGCTGCTGTTGCTCGATGGGATTGTTGTTGTCCTCGTTATCGGAGAAACGGAACACGTCCGTCATATCACTACGATATGTGGTCGCTGTGGAGGGTGTGGCATCCTCTGGCAGCTTACTGCTGCTGTCAAAGTCATCCATGAGTTGTGCTTCTAGCGCACGTCCCGCCTCATCCATATCGACGCTATTGTCGTCGTCCAGCTTGCTGGCAACTTGTTGCTGCTGCTGTTGTTGTTGTTGTTGCTGCTGCTGCTGTTGTTGTTGTTGCTGCTGTTCGCGGGCCGTCTTTTCGCGACGTTTCTTCTCGCGCTTCTCCTTGCGATGCCGCTCGCGTTCGCTGCGCTCCAGCTCAAGTTCCTCCTGTTGTTGCTGCTGCTGCTGCTGCAACTGTTGCTGTTGTTGCTGCTGCTGCTGTATTGTTGCCGCCGACTCCTTGTTGCTGCTATTGAGACTGAGCGGCGTCTCTTGTTTGTACGTTTGCAACGCAGCGGACACCATGGGTCCTGTCGTCGACAGCTGCACCTTGGTCGTATCTGGTTGTTCATCGGTTAGCTGTGCTTCCAGCTCTTCCTCCTCCTCGTCGGAGATAATGCCAAAGATGTCCTCCATTTTGTCTTCGCTGCGCTTGGACGAGGACGATTCGCGTGCAGTTGGTGTCGCCAATATGTTGGGGGAGGTAACACTGCTGGCGTTGGCATTGTAGAGGCGTGCAGCAGAAGTCTCCAAACTCTTGGATTTCTTTGATTTCTTGAGGCGATGTCTCTCCTCCTTGGAGAGCTTCTCGCTGATTGGCTGTGGAGGCGGATGCTGTTGCTGCTCAATGGAGCCGCCGCCGACGCTGACATTAGTTTCGCTCATATTGCGCAACTTCTCGCGTTTCTTCTCCTTGCGCTCCTTGTGCTTACGTCGATCGCTGGCGGCTGCTGGCATCGTCGCGGTGTCATCCAAGGTGGCAACCGCAGCAGTGCTGATTACGTCATGCTCCGTTTTGAGCTCATCGAAACTGTCGAATTTGTTGTTCGTCTTGCAATCGGCAACATCAAAGATGCTGCTCGTATTGCCGGCTGCGACAGCAGCAGCATCTGCAGCAGATTTGATACGCTTTTTGCTCTTTTTGTGCTTCTTGCGTGTCTCCGGGGAGTAATCCTTGAGCTTGGCACCTGCGTCATCGTCAACATAGCCCGTAAAGCTAGAGTTGAAATACTCATTGTATTCCTTCTTGAATTCAGATTTTACGAGCTTGCGCTCCTCGTTGGAGGAGTGCGAATTATGTTGCGAGTTGTTCGTAAACTTGGGCAACTCGCTCTCGGAGAGCTGCTCCTGCTTGATGTCTGGCTCCTGTTTGATGAGCTCCGCTGTTGGGGCTGGTTGCGATTGCGATTCCGAGTCGGAGGCAATGCGTGTGGACAGACAATTCCGCTTACCCGCATGAGTAAGGACATTGCGTCGTATCTCATCCTCGGAACTATCGTCGCCATCGCATAATCTACGCAGATTCTGTTGCATTTGCTGACGCATGCGAAGTACATCTTCGAGATCGGCGTCCGAGTCAGAGAAAATGCGAATGTGGGACAGCTTACGATGATAGCCATCATCATCGTTCTCCTCCTCATCGCTGCTGCTTAGACCGCCATGATTGCGGAAACTGCTGCTGCCGCTGCTGCGATGATGGTGCGGATGATGCATTCGATCCTCGAATTCCGTATCGCTATCGCCGTCATAGCTGGTATAACGCGTCTTCTTGGCACGTGACTGTTTGAGCTGCGAGAACTTGGCCATGATTTTCTTCTCCTCCGCTTGGCGTTGCATATTCTTGCAGCTGCGCGCCTTGACCTTATCGTACATGGAGACGTTGGGGCAATCGTCTGGTATATCGAATATGGAATGCTTCTTGGATAAATCATCGGTGTCATCCGAGTCCGCCGAGCTAAGCATCATTTTGCGCGTCTGCGAGGTGCTCTTGTTAGAGGTGTTGCCCTCGTCCGAGCCACGCGACGATTTTCGCTCCATGCTGCGACGATGATGATGATGACGTTGATGGTGTTGTTGTTGATGCTGTGATTGTTGCTGCTGCTGCTGCGACGATGGTTGTTGCGGCTGCTTGCTACTTGTATTGCTGCTCATCTCACCCGCCGAGCTGCCTGCTGCAGAGATCCGTCTGTGTGGATTGTGAGTGGGTTCCTCATCCGTATTTGTGGATTCAGCGATGAAGTGTCGCTTCTTTTCACGATGATGATGATGCTCACGTTTGTTCTTGTGCCGTGATGAGGACGAAGAGCTGCCATGATGGTGATGATCACGATCGCGTTGCGATTTGTGCGGCGTTGGCTGCAACTGCTGCTGTGATGTCTGCAATTGTTGCTGTTGCTGCTGCGGCGGCTGTTCCTCCTCGCTGGTGTTAAGCGTGGACGAGTGCAATTGTTGCTGTTTGGCAACGTCCGATTCACTGGTAATGTGATTCTGCTCAATGCTGGCAGACTTGCTGCTCGCATGATGCTTCTCGCGACGATGATGCTTGGAGCTGCTGCTGCCGCTGTGCGGCTTGCCGGAGGACGCGTTGGGTTTCTCGTCCTTGCAGGCGACGCCAATGCTGCTGCCCTTGTGCTCCTTGGAGTCGCGGCGATCGCTGAGACGCTGATGATTGCTTTGGCTATGATTGGCATTCGGATTGGGATTGGGATTACTGCCACTGCTGCTCTCCATGCGTAAACGCTTCACGTAATCCTCGTGATTTTGTGTCGTACTAGCGCCGCCGCCACTGCTGTGATTGCTGTCCTGCGAGCTGAGCCGTCGCTTGTGCTGCCGTCCCAGCGGTCCAGGAGAATTTCGTGACGATTTTCGTGAGCGATCCTTGCCACTGGTCTCGGAGGAGGTTGTAGCAACAGCTGCAATTGCAGTTGCTGCTATTGCACCACTTGCGACAGCAGCTGCAGTTGCTAGAGCTGGAGTAGTTACAGCTGGTATATCCGTGGCATTCTCCTTGTTGTTCTCGCTAGGAGTGGCAGCGGCCACATAGAAGCTGCTGGCCTCGGAACTGGCATCGGATTTGTTCTTGTGATAGGCGGACATATCGCGCATGCGTGCCAGACGCGCCTCCTGCTCGCGCAGTTCCTTCTCGCGCTGCTCCTTGTCGCGCTGTTCTTTCTCGCGCTGCTCATTTTGTTCGCGTTCCTCGCGCTCGTTTTGCTCACGCTCCTCTTGAGCCCGGCGCTCTCGCTCCCGTTGTTCTCGTTCTCTCTCCTTTTCTTCTTTGGCCTTGCGTTCCTCGCGTTCTTCCTGCACCCTGCGATCCTTTTCTTCGCGCTCATGATGCTTGCGCAACTCCTTGTCCCGTTTTTCCTGTCGCTCCTTGTGCTTTTCCTTTTCGCGCTCCGGCTTTTCCGACTTCTCCACTGGAACATCCGACTCACTGGTCTCATCCTCCATTTTGGGCGTTGTCGCCGATTTGGAGGAATGTTGCGATGATGCGGAATTCTTGCGCTTATCGGAGCTGAAGGCGGTGGTGGCTGCTGATGAGGAGGAGGAACTCTTTTTGGATTTCTTTTCCGTATCGGAACGATTATTGTGTTTGCTGTGGCCATGCGGCTTATCGCCGACGGAGCCCTTTTTGGTGGAACCGCAACTGTTCGTTGATGTCGTGGAGCTGGTTGAACTCTTATGGTTGCCTTTGGACTCCACCACCATTTCATCCAGAGAGTTGTTTGGCGTTGGCTTTTGTACATTTGTGGCTGCTGTTGGTGTTGTTGTTATTGTTGTTGTTGAGGAACTGTTACCGTTAGAGGATGAGTTGTTGCTGCTGCTGGTAGCGGTGTTGCTGCTGTTGTTGTTGTTGCTTCCCGTAGTGCCCACATTATTGCTGCCTGGCACAGAGTTGAACTTTTGCAGCACGGACCGCGTCTCATTTGCAGCAGCAGCAGGCACGCTGAGACTTTTGCTGAGCGGTTGTTGTTGATTGCTGCTGCCGCTCATGGCTTTTGTGCTTTTGGGCAGCTCTGGTGGCGGTGGTGGTGCCGGCTGCACGGCAGGCGGTGGTGCTGCTGTATTTGGCAATGGCGGGTGACTGGGAAACGGATATTGCAGACCCTTGCTGGCAGCTGCCGCTGTTGCTGCTGAACCACTCGCTGCTGCTGCTGCTGTGGCTGCTGTTGTCGTTGCTGCTGATGCTGCTGCTGCTATTGTTGGTAATGCTGTCGCATTTCCGCTGGTGCTGCTACCAGTTAGACAAGGTTGTTTGCTGGCATTAACATTGACAACGGAGGGCGAGGGCGACGGACTGTTGTAGGGCGACATGGAGGCCTGCGGCGAGTTCATCGGCGACAAGCTGCTCAAGCGTTGCAACAAACCGCCAGCAGTTTTACAGCTGCTGCTGCTGCTGCTGCAGTTGCCAATGACGGCCGTTGTCTTAGTCGCCGCCAGATTGGGTAACGCCGGCGATGTGTTCCCACTGCAAAGGCCGTGCCGAGCAATGCCAGACGATCCGCTGCCCGTGTTGAAATCTGTCGCAGCCGGCTCATACCACTGATTCTTCTTCAGTCGCTGGAAGTCATCGTCGAACACCGATTTCTTTGCTAGCAGCGATTTGACAATATCCGACGGCTGCAGCTCATCAATATCGAGAAATTTGTGACGTGAGCTGCTCGTTGTACTGGACACTGTGCCGCTGGAACTGTTGCTGTTCCCGGAGCCCACCAGATGCGACGATGAACTCAAGCCACTCAGATTTGTTGTGTGCATCGAGAGCTGCCAGGATGGTGTATTCGATTGACTGCCACTGCTGTGACTGTGACTGTGACCATGACTGTGACTGTGGCTATGACTGGGATTTGTGTTGGTGTTGTTGCTGTTATTGTTGTTGCTGCTACTGCCACCGGACCAGCGTTCATAGTTCTCCTCAAAGTTGCGCAATCGCTCGTCCAACGTCGGACTACCGCCTGCCTGGCCACTCGGCACATCCGAATCGCTCGAATTGGAACTGAGCGAACGCGGACGCACCGGACTGGACATTAGACCAGACGATGAGGACGATTGCTGCTGTTGTTGGAGCAGCTGTTGCTGTTGCTGCTGATGTTGCTGCTGCTGTTGATGAAGGTGATGTTGTTGCTGCTGCTGTTGTTGATGCTGCTGTTGGTGGTGCTGATGATGATGATTAGAGCGCCAGTAGCGCGAGGAGGGACTGGGCAAAAACGATAAGCTTGATGTGGATGAGGAGCAGCCGCTGGACGACAATGTCGCAGCACTAAGACTAGAGTTGTTGTTGTTGTTGCTATTGTTGTTGCTGGCGAGTAAGGCCGTCGTTGTCGTCAACTGCTGCAAATAGCCACTGCTAACACCACTGCTGCTGCTGGCCGCAGCATTGCGCTGTTGCTGCTGCTGAAAGAAGAGCACACCAAATTTGGGCAGTGGCAACCACATAATATCGCGTACACGCTCCCGCGCTCGCTCCCTTGGCGGCGGCAGACGACGCGGCTCTGTGGGCAGTATCTCGGGCCGTTCATCGCACAGCGGCGTGCCTGGTCGGGAGCCATCGGCACTCTCGCCGCCGCTGGCCTCGTGCGAGTGATGGGAATGTAGCTGATGGCCGCGACCACGCGACGCATGATGATGATAGTCATCGTTTGGCGTGGGCGCTGCCAGCGTTGGCGTCAGCAATCCACCACCACCACCGCTGCTGCTGCTGTTCGACACGTTCTGGGGAGTAACACTGGAGGAGCAGGACTGCTGCAGCGACTGCGTCGGCTGACTGAGTTGCTGCATTGTGCCGGCGTTTGCGACACGTCGTCGTTTCGCGGCCAGCGACGCATTCATCATATGCTGCTGCTGCTGTTGCTGCTCCATGCTGCTCGCACCGACCAGGCCATGACGAAACGCCGACGAATTGGAGAGCGCCGATAAAGCGCCAACATCAATCGACGGCCGGCGACAGCTGAGCATCATCCCGTGGTGTTGGCCACCCGATGGCGGCGGTCCAATTGCTGAAAATTTATTAATCGCTTCGGAGACCCGTCGTATTTCGCTTTTGCGATTCAGCGGATCGTGTATGACATCACAGTTGGAGAGCGGACTGGGCTTGTTGCTGATGTGGCCAGTGGACGACAAGTCGCTGTTCTGCTCCAGCAGCAGCTGCGATTGCTGCTGAAATCAAAAGCAGAACATTTTAGATATCAGGTTATTTAAAATGCCAAATGATCGAGTGATTAACTAATGAGCAACGTATATTCATTTTCCCATCAATATTTAAGAATATTAGCTGATATGAATAGAAATCTCTCTCATCACTTGCGATCATTTTGAGCAAACCGAGCAAACTTACCGCACTGGCATTGGAATGATGATGATGATGGTAATCCATTTTGAAGCGCTTGCGCGGACTGACCACGCCCTCATCACCACTGGACGGGCATTCCTCGAGTTGTTCTGGCAATTGGAAACGTTGATTGTGCACATGATGGCGCAAATCTACATTTGTCTTACCACAACGACGTCGATTGTTGTTCGCAATGCTGCCAATGCTGTTATTCATCAGCGTCACATCGAGCATTTCACTTGGATTTCCGCTGCTGTTATTGACGGCTGGGCCGAGGCGTGCAATGACTGGCGAATCGCAGCGCATAAGAACGCCTGCATCCTCATCCGGCGCCTGACTGTTGCTGTTACTGTTGCAGCTGCTCGAGTAATCCTCAAGGCTGCGAAAGTCGATGGTGTGGCGTGCACTTCGTGCCATACGCATACGCGCCTGCACCATCGCTGCCGGCGACATGGGCAACGAATTCTGACCGATGCCACCCGACGAGGGCAACGATGTCGCTGGTGTTGCGCTGCAACTGTTGCTGTTTACACCTGACGAGGCAGCAAGACTGGGCGCTGGCATCGCATTGCTTGTGCCACTGGCTGCAGCTGACGTGCCACCACCTCCCGGCGTGTTGCTGCCCGGCGAGCAAATATCGCTCGAGCTCTGCGGCCGACTAAAGGAGGAGGCGCGCGAGCGTGACTGCGACGACGACTCGTAGCGATTAAAGCGCGACGACGAGGAAGCTAAAGTAAAAAAAACAAGAGCAATTAGTAAAAGTTGAATACCTTTTTAACCAAATGATAACTTACCCGCATTGGGTTGCTGTGCTTGTGGCGCCTGTTGTTGTTGCTGTTGCTGCTGCTGCTGGAGTTGTTGCTGTGGCTGTTGCTGCACTTGCTGCTGCTGTTGCTGCTTCTCCTGTTTGTCGTAGAAGGCATCCTGGCATTCTCGTGATGCAAAGTCTACCTGCAGCTTGCGTCCACGCATAATCGTGCCACGCATATCCTTGACAGCAGCCTGGGCATTCTGCACCTGGTCGTACAGGACGAGTGCCAATTGTCGCGTCCGATCGATACTGACCTTGGTGACGGTGCCGAAGCGTGTGAATTGCGACTGCAGAAATGACTCGGAGACCTTCTCGCCACAGCCATCGATCCAGACACAATTCGTTGGCATCGATTTGCCAAAGCCGAGCTTAATGCGATTGCTGCCCAAGTGTTCGCCATCCATTTTACGCATGGCCTTCACCACAGACACAATATCCGAATACTGACAGAAGGCATAGGCATTCAAGCCCTGCTTCTTGATGTCGATCTCGATGATCTCGCCGAAACTCTCGAAATGCCCACGCAACTCACTGGCCGTAATATCCTTCTCCAGATTGCCAATGAAAAGGGTGCGTGTCGATTTCGGATGGTATTCATCCAGTTCGGCCTCATACGGCCGAAACTCATTGTCCTCGACATCGTAGCCCTGATAGGGTTCCACCTCGATTTTACAGCCAAAGAAATGTTTATCGTGCGAGACCTCAAGCGCCTTTTCCACATCGTCCGGTTTTTTAAAGCAGACGAGCGCATAACGCTCCGAATTCTGGCCGACAACCTTCACCCACGTGACCTTGCCGTGCTTTTTGTACTCGTGAAAGAGACCATCCTTAAGGGATGTGTCCGAGGAACGGGCGGGCAGGTTGCGTACACGTATCGCCAGCGGACGATTATCTTCGGAATGCACCACCGGATTGGCGGCCAGACAGGAGCTGCTACTGCTGCTCGAACTGCTGCTGCTGCTGCTCGATGAGCCACAGCCACCACCGCCACCGCCGCCACCACCTGCATTGCCACTGGGATTTGAAGAGGTGCCTGTAAGTAAAATTTTTTGTAATAAGTATATTTTATTTATATATAGTGAGTTAATTGTGTACTTACTGTTCGCTGTGACGCGTGAGCTGCGTGTTGTGGCAGCAGCAATGCCAGCAGCAGCACCACCGACACCACCAGCACCACCGGCATCGGCACAATTGCCCGCTATCGGGCTGGACGCGTGCGAATGCGACGATGAATGCGATGAGGAGGCCGATGATGAGCTATGCGAACTGCTATAACTGCTCGGCGAACGCGAATGCGAGCGACTCGACGATGTTGTGCTCCGTCCATGCAAATGATGACGCGGCGCACGTGCGGCGCCACTGCTGCTGCTACTGCTGCTATGATCGACAGCGGCAGCCAATGCAGCAGCCACATTTAAAATGTCGCTGCTGCTGCCAGTTGTAGTTGCTGTTGCTGCGGCAGCAATTGGCATCGTTGGAGTGGCCGTGTTTATTGTATTATTTAAACTATTACTACTAAAACTATTGTTGTTTGTGATTGTACTTGTCGTCGTCGTCGTCGTCATCGTTGAGCCTCCTCCTCCTCCTCCTAACGGTGACTCTGAGCCGCAGCGTGACGTTGTCAATGCCGTTTTAAGCAGCTTATTCAATTTGCTGACACCGCCGCTGGCGAGGCTTCTATTGCTGCTACTGCTGCTGCTGTTGTTATTGTGGTGTTGCTGCAGGTGTTGCTGTTTGCGCATCGCCCCCTCATCCGCCGCGCTGCCCGCATATGCAACGCTGCGGTGCATGGCGGTTGTTGTTGCTGCTGCCGCTGTTGCTGCTGCTGCTGCGGCGGCTGCTGCTGCTGCTGCTGCAACTGCTATCGTGTGCGTGTGGGCGGGTGAAGAGTACGAGGCGGATGTGTTGTTGCTGCTGCTGCTGTTGTTGTTGTAGTGATGATGATGTGAATGTGTGTTGTGCGGATGATGTGGATGTGGATGATGATTGATCGGTGAGCTCATTATGCTGCTGCTGCCAGCTGCTGAGACGCCGGCATTGCCACTGCCACCAGGACTTTTTAGATGAGCTGTCGTCGCAGCAGCAGCTTCGTACCATGACTGCGGTACGCGTGTGTTTTGGTTAATGATGTTGTTGTTGTTGCTGCGATCGCCCAACGCTTGTGGCGGCAACGGCGTTGCTGCTGCTGCTGCGTTTGCTGCACCACCAATAATCCCACCGGCACCTGATCCACTTCCACCTCCACCCGCACCCACGCCCGCTGCAGCTGCTGCTGCTCCTGTTGTTGCTGCTGCTGTCGTCGTTGTTGTTGCTGTTGCTGCTGTTGTTGCTGTTGTTGCTGATGTTGTCGTCGTCGTGTTGCTGCTTGTAGCTGACGCACCAACTGCTGCTGCAACTGCGGCTGCTGCTGAACCATTCCTAAACAATCGATCTCGAGCTCGCGATCTATCGCTGCTACTGCTACTGCTATTGTTGTTGTTGCTGCTGTTGTTGTTGTTTGAATTGATGTTGCTGCTGCTGGCAGTTGTGGCTACGGCTGCTGCTGCTGCTGCGTTGCTGGCGTGATAGATGAGGCGGCTGCGATCGTAGTAGTTCCTTTCGAAGCTGTTTGTCGGTGGTTCTTCTGTAGACCTGCAATTACAACGAAAACGTATAGAAATATATAAATGAACATAAGTAAAACAGTTGACATCTTGAATAGATTATTACTAAGTTATTACAGTTGTCGCTCGCAAATTAAAAACACTTCTTTTATAACATTTAAAGCAATGTTCAATTAAAAATTAGTCTAAGAGATCTACACACTAAATTCATAAACAATTTTCACTGTCAACATTAAAATTTTCTCAACATATTTTAATTGCTGATCTTCTAATTTAATAATTTTCCAAAATTCATTAATACAATTTCTCAACAAATGTTAATTGCGTAAAAAAACAACGTCCCCGCCCACCACCCGCACAACCCACCTCCGCATAATAGTTTTTACACGGCAAAAAAAACCTTGTTAATTTGCTGGCACAGCTGTTGTTGGAGCAGAAGAAGGAGATAATGTTGTAAACGAATTCGAGTATCCGCTTGAGGATCGCTTTTTACTTAGCGCCAACATTTGATGCTGCTACTTCATCTTTGGCTGCTGCAACATGGAATTATTTGACTTTAATAAAACACACAAACTCTCCGAGCAAAGAAAAAATTTCACCGGCGAACCAAAAAAGAAAAAATCTCGCGAAACGGCGCCAAATTGAACGTCTGTCGACGTCGTCGTCTGTTTACGCGGCAGAACTTTTGCTAGTGTTTAAAGTTTTTTTTTTTTGTGCAAACACACACACAAGCACGTATATACAAATCACATGCACACACACACACTCATAAACAAGAGCCGGCACGAATAGCGAGCGATAAAGAGATTGCTTGGAAAACAACCGGTTTTCTTTTAATATTTACATACACACACAACGCTCTTGCTTAAAAATTATTATATATTTTATGCGGCACAAAAAAAATTATATATTTCGTTTTTATTTTCTGCAGTTTTTCGCCGTCGATCGGTTTGCCGCTTCTTACTAATTGTTCGTTTGCTTTCATGCCGATATTCGCGTAACCAAACACGAGCATCGGCCACAATTCAGTGCTACCGGATCGCTAAACGTTTTCAGAGCGTGAGCAATCGCGGGACTGCCAAGCTGTCTGCAGCCGCACTGCTATGTTAATTACCAGCGCACAACTTTTAACAGCGCTCTTTGGGCAATCGGAAAAAATTGAGAGATGCTCTCACGCGTAGATAACGTTTGCTGTTATTAACAGTGCGCAATGTAATGTTAATGCTATCCACACTGTTATTATTAGGGTGAACACAAAACAACAATATTTAACGACGCATTTTCCAGGTAGGTAAAAATTGTATGTTGCCGCTACCTGAATGAAAAATCAACCCCGCAATAAATTAACACGCGACGCAAAATGACACAGCAGCGGCACCCAATGTGACAGACCTATTTTCTTTTCTTTTTTTTCACACAAGGGAAAACAGGCGCGACCTTAGCTAAACTTATCCATTGTTTCTCCCTGATGAAAGAACGAATAAAACGTTTCCTAACTACGCCAAAAACAAACGAGTCGAGGCAAAGGGCACATTTTTAGAAATACAAATAACTCAAACATATATGTATGTATATATTTATGTAAATTTATGCATATGTATATATATATATATATATATGTATATGTATTTACTTTCAAGGGCCCGCCCTTAACGATCGATTCGCAATAAAAGCGGCGTTCAATAACAGCCGGCTGTTATGACACCGTTTCCTAATCTGCTGCAAGGGCAAATCGACTGCTTGGAAGGTACGATCACTGACAACAGTTATGCACACACACACATTAATATGCATCTAACAACTTTAACATTATGTAATTAGAAATGCTACGCATCTATTTTGTATAAAATTAACATGGTATTAATAATGCATTTACATAACGCAAATTAGAACGAGCAGTAAACCAATCAAGAATAATGTTAATTAAATCTGGGATTAACAGCTTATTAAATTAACCAATACTGTAAAATTGAAGCTTAATTTTGAAACGGAATTTCAAACTTTTTCTCTCTAACAACAAAGTCTGACTTAACGTATTCAATGTAATTTTCTATCTATTCCAGCAGCTATCTATTTTCTATTTATACTATTTATGTATTTGGTTTGAGAGAGATAATACTTAATCAGAAATAAGCTGAATTTCTTCTATTTGTAATAAGTGTTTATAATTAGAAAAAGCTTCACATAAATACCAATTTCTCAAGCCGTTAATTCTTTGCAGTTTCTCATTTTCATGCGATTACTATATATGTGTATATATATATATATATATATATATATTTACGCATACATACATAGACTTATTCCAGCAGAATTGCTTTTGATGAATTGAATCCCGCCCATACACATTGATACATTGTCGTTTGCTCGTTGTTTCTAAAGATTTTTAAGGCCGCATTAAGCGCTTTAAGCGCCAGCAAATACACATACACACACACACACATGCATACATACATAAATACACACACACACACATACACATAAGCATATATAAAAGCCAAAGCACTTAAAATATGGCCATGTAAGCACATTCACATGCCAGCTACACATGTATATGTGTATACATAGATATGTATAGATGTATGTATGTGTGTATGCTTTGGGTATATAAGGTAGAGTTGCATTTTCCAGATATCACTGGAAATGTTGTTGTTGTTGTTGTTGTTGCTGCTGCTGCTGTTGTTACTGCTGCAGTGGGAGTTGTTGCAGGCTGATGACTCAGGGCAGCAAAAAAAAACATAGAGATACATAGACATATGTATATGTGTAATATATATATATAAATATATTTATATATATATAGAGTATATATATGCTCATAAGCAATTGCATTCAAAGAGCGGCTGCTGCTGATTGTTGTTGTTGTTGCTGGTTTGCCCGGCATGCGCAGTGAGGCGGGCGAAAAATCAATTCAGCTAAAAGTGCGCCCGGTTGGAAAAGTGCAGGGCGAGAGACAAGGGCCAGGAAATCCAAAGCCAACAACAATGGCAACATTTGTTGCGCCAACTGCGCGAGCAGCGCAGAAAGCAGAGCAGCCAGCAGCAGCAGCAGACATAGCAGCAGAAACAGAGCAAAGTAATGCTGAGCAGCAGCAGCAGCAGCAGGTCGGGTGTCCGACAGTTGACACACGCACGCACAGTGGAGCAAACATTAAAGTACAAACAATTATATAAATTCCCTTTATTGATAGGAAACAGTAATAATTACGAATAATTGAAAGATTTGAAAACAATACTTGGGAATTTCCAAAAACAACAAAATCTGAATACCATTAAAAAAGATAGATTCTGTTTGCATAAGTTAAGATCTAAATGTATATTCTATAATAAAGGCTTAATTGAGCTATCAAATATTATTACATAGGCCAAGATCATCACTACAGGATTGAGCAAAGAAGACTTGTGCATAAGCTCTAAGATCCCAGAACTTCCTTACAAGGCTCTTAAGTCAGCGAAAACCCGTTGACAAGATTCAAGAAAACTTCATCGCCAAACGATCAATCGAACCTTTTAAATCAGAAAAAATGCAAATGTTGCAGATGTTCTGATACAGTTTGATTACAACGTGACTCGTAGCCTGTTATCTTCATTAATACCGACATGCTACACATTTTCCAAATAATTATAACTGTTATTCAAGAACTTTCTGGATGTTTTTGGGTAGAATCAGGGGCTACAGTAGAAAATGTTTCTCTCAGCATTTGATTTGGTTGCAAAGATTCAAACAAAGTCATAGAATTTAGCCATGCTGAACTCCAAATATATTTCTTTATATCATAAAGCAGCATTATTCTTTTGTTTCGAACCACTGTGCACACTGCCTGGGCTAACTGGCAGCCAGGCAGCAGTCAGGTAGGTGTTTGAGTTGGGTGTAGTTTATGGCTTGGATGGGTGTTTTTTTTGGTAATGGGCATAGCTGTAAATTGCATTACTGCGACTCACATTATGTGGATGGGTTCCCTCCCTCCTCCAAAACTCCCTCTTCCACTCACCGTGTGGCGCTTATGTAATGCATATAGAAAGAGAGGAGACGACGACATCGCCCCCAAGTTTCGCCTGGGCCTGGGCTACAAAGTTTTGCAGCCAGCGAACGAACACACAGCGAACGTCCTTGTTTGAGGTTATTTCTGTGTATTCTCTATATATATATATAAGTATATATATATAAATGAGCATATAGAGCTGACTGACTGGCTGGCAATATATACATATATATATGTTGTTGTGTGTTGGTATTGTGCGCAACTTTTGGCAAGTAGAAATTCCTGAAATCCCTTTTAGCCTTTCATTCAATCATTGCTGGTGCTGAGCTGAGCGGGCGGCAAATGGCAACGGCCCCATTGGATAACCCAAAATGCGGGGACTGCAGCAGCAGTCAGAAGTAATTTGAAGACTCAGCCACTGGGCGTGAAATTTATCAACATCACAGAAGGAGAGCTGCTTGAACACCAGCAGCAGCCGCTTCTGGCAAGTTGAAGGACACGGGAATGACAGCTCGGAGCGAGCACAAGGAGCGAGCACAGATATGAAAATGGCAACGTAAACAAGAAATATGGCAGGATAATGCATGGATCAAGTCTTCACACACAGCCAGACGTTATAAAATATGAAAAGGACAGCTACAACAGCAGTGGAAAAGGAACTTATTTTCTATATATTAAGTTCTTACTGAAAACTGACATTCGAAAAGTTATCAAAATTGAACATAAATTCGAAATATGAACGGAAAAATAGATAATAGTTTAGTTAGTTAGATTTGTCATATGCCAACTTGAAATATAACTTTCTATCAAAAATAGTTAAAGAACAGTTACAATTTCTGCTCCACCTTTCTGTCTAAAACTTTTCTTAGAAATATCTCCTACCAAACTGTGTACTGAAATAAAAACTAAATCAGTTTTCACCTCTAAAATAATCCTACATTTTAATTTTGATTTTCTTTCTAAAAAAAAAATTACTTTTCATCCACTTAATCCCCCTCATATATATAGTTTGTCAAAGGCTCTTCAAAGGACAGAAAAATGGAACT